CTCTGTAACCTTCTTCCCTGGTCATAACACTTCACAAAGGCAATTAAATAATAATGGCAATGCTAATGATGAGGAAAAACCGAAAATATAACTTAGTTTCTTCACATATTCAGATCAGTGCTCAGCTAGTTTTTTGTCTATTTGAGATAAAATTAAAAAAGTAGTACTAGTACTAAGCTGTGTTGAAATATGCAGGTTTACAAGAACTTATTTGCACACAGTAACTAAATTACATCCTGTAGCCACAGTTCATAATAATACAGTATAAGTACCAACAAAATGAAAGTTTGTACATCTGCAACACCTTAGTAGACTTTTATTCTAAGATCTAAAAAATATCTTTGGAAGTAACTCTATAAACCAAGTATTCTCCCCCCATCCCCCTTAAAAAAAATACGTAGGACAGAAAAAAGATTTTTAAGCATGCTTAGATGTTAACATTTGATTGTAAAACTTATTGGGCATCTAAAATAACAGACCTCACTATGACTCCGAAGAACTCATATATCACAGTAACTCAGCTACAGCAAACTTTTTCTAAAAGCTATCAAGTATCAACCATTTTGCTTGTTCACTTTGCCCTTTTCTGTTCATTCCACTGCTTTCCAATCTGTTCAAATACCTTGAGTACCTTGTGTTAGAGTTCCTGCACATTTTTCCAACAGTTAAAAACCTTCGTGCTTACCTTTGGCTGAGAATTTAACTGTCAGTTTGAAGGAGCCTTGTGAACACAGCTGCCTGGACACTTTGTGATCTTCTCACCGCTCAGTGAGTCATGCCGTCTTGGAAAAGTTCTCCCTTACACTTTGGCTTTCAACAACATCTATTCAGATAGGGAACAAAAGCACAGCAAAAACTTCGGTTAGGCCAGGGAACAGGAAAATGCCTCCTGAATTTTAATTAACAGAATACACTAGAAAATGACCATACTACGCACATACAGATCTGCTTCCAAATCAGACCAGCAAATGGAAAAAGTTTCAAATATCTTTTTTAATCAAGTACTACCCCTTACTTGGCATCTTAAATAAAACCTTCCTCAGAGTTTACCAGTTTTATTTATTATCGTAGCCAGTGATAACAATATTCAACAATCTGGTTCTTGTTTCAAAAGAGCAAAAGCTGCTCAGAATACAGTATTCTTTTATAACACCCTACAGATAGAAATTCAAGCATCCCAACAAGTTGGGAAGTTAAAAGTTTGAAACTTACCAAGAATCCTATCTTCACTGTAGAACTCTTCTTTACCTTTTCCTACTAACCTTAGTTTTCTGGAGTGTTCCGACAAAGCCTGCACACTGGAATCGAGCTGCCGTTCACACTTAGAGAGCACCGTGATGGCTACGCAACGTACTTAAAATCTAGCAGGCGGCAGTGACATGCATTGGCCAGCATACATTGGATCCAGTCCTCTTGCTTATTAGGCTATAAAAAAAAAATAGAGAGAAAGAATGCTTTTATCTTGAAAATGCTGGCACCTTGTCAACTGCAGCAATGACAGGGTCTTTTGTGTACACTTTAAACACTGTTGTGCCCAAGCCACAATTAGATTTTCAGGACTCTGAAGAGCATCACCTTTTAAAGTATGCTAAAAAAAAACTTTAGAACAGCACTGCTTTTCAATTTGTACTGACTGTAGATTTTGTTCTTCTCAAAATGCCAGCCAATACTGAAAAAATATCAAATGTTACAGTTGGAATAGGCTGAAACTTGGAAATTAATCATGCACTATACAAAGCTGTAAACTGTGCTAGAAAAGGGTGAAAAAAAGAAACCGTAGCCTAGCAAAACTGTCTTAAGCAATTAAGCCCTTCTGTTCCTCTGCTCACAGAAGACACTATAAAAATATTTCCATTCTCTGAATCCTCTCCAAGACTACATTTTAATGGAAAATGGATAGTGCTTACTTCATGTCTTTTTCAAGGGCTGTTAGGTACTAGTAGTATGGACTTGCCCTAAGATTAATTACCTCAGATATAAAACAGGATCATATTTTATTCCTCTAGACCATTCATGTCAGTTTAGGGAGGTGTTTCTTCTGTTGTTTTTTTTTTGATTGTTTGTTTTTGTTTTTTAATTATTATTTAAATAAGCAAAGCTGGTGAGATATTTAGATATTTATTTCATCTAATCTCTTTCAGTAAAACTGAATTTATAATGTCCATGTCACTGAATGGAGCAGGGATCAACAACACCAGGAATCTTTGTTCACGATTCCAAGTTTCCCAGCCAGTATGGCACCTGAAAGCCCCCTCGCTCAAGCATAGCACTACAGTGTTTCCGCAGGTTACAGTGAGATTCCTTCTTCCCCCTTCCCTCTGCACTTCTCATTATTTGCTGGCTTGCAGAGAGGCTCAGTATGTTAATACGGTACCCCCTGCACTTTTCATCCGTGTCAGCAAAAAAGCACCTAACCTTCAGCCTTCAGTTTCTACTCAAAACCTTTTTCTGGGGATCTTAAGTTCCCTTAATTTCATGTTTCTGACTCCATTCAAAGTCTTGGGTCATTTTTATACATACACAAAAGGCACAAGGCAAGATCTGGTAGTCAGAGCCCAAGACACCTAGTAATATTAGGTGCTGTACAAAGGTGCTGGATTAAGAGATTCTTCCTAATTCTAACAGGTGCACAGGAAACCTACATGAAGACTGCAGAAGACATAACAATGCCAACAAAATGTTCCAGGCTTCTGAAAGGGGTTTACAAATTAAGCATGTTTATTCTAAGTTAGGTTAAAAGATAACACAAGATGACAAACAAATCAAATGGTGAGAGGCTACAAAGAACTTAACAGCTAGAAATGACTCCTGAACGGGATCAACCTCACGAAGCAGCTGTAGCAGATGCCGGGCCATTTGCCAGGGCTGTGCCATGCTAGATTCCCCACAGTAACCACCAAAGAGAAAAATTAGGTTGAAGATTATATTCAACCTGCCAAGGGACAATGTGATAAATAGGTACATAAACTTGCTATACTAATAGGTTTATATTGCTACAGAACAAAAAAGCATTTTAACCTGAGGCAATTTCCCTGTGAACCCGGGGTCATGCCTTTGCTCGCAATTGTAAATGCAAAAATATATAGCCTTGGTAAATTTTATTTTTATCATGCTAACTAACTGTTCCTTTAACTAAGACAGATGAGTTTTTATTAGCTCCCTACATATATATGTTATATATGTACACACACATATTCATGTTCTGATTCAGTTTCTGATTCCTATATATAACACATAAGAAACTAATATACATACTATTTATATATAATACAATATAAACGCTGTATTATACATAACATACAATATGTATATATAATACTTACCTATACTTAATTCTTAAGTATAAGTATTTAAGTATTAAATACTTAATTCTTTTACACTTTATTTAATTATACTATTTTAACTTATTATCTATATTTCCTGTGTAGTATTTTCAGGTCTTTTAAAATCAGCTTTTTGAAGTATTTTGTTTCTGTGGAGCCCGTTCCTCAAATTCTCGTTTCCCAGCTTATGTATTGGGACATGTAGAGAATCATGAGCAAAATACAGGCCCAATAGCTTCAAAGGGATGTCTTGTTCCCCAGTATAACATATATTTCTTTGGATTTTTTTTTCTGTCTTTCACACGAATCATCATATGAAGAGTTCACACCAGTTTGATCAAAATATATACTATCCAATTTATGCTACTGAAATATTAAATACTTCTATTTGTATGGATGCAACAAACACATCATGTTCACATTTAAAAGGACATCCAGATTAAATACTTGCCTTTTTCGCCTTGCAGTAAGGTTCCTGAGCAGCACAATCAACCTGTGAAGGCTTTTATAAACTATGTCAGGAACAGGATCTTCAGACAAGCATTTATCTCTTTCTGAAGAGATCGGTGTCTACAGACACTCATACTCACACATCCTGCCTCCCAGTAAGCATCTCCCCAGTTACTCCAGAGCAGGACATGGCAACCCGTGTGTAATTACTGGCAACCTGAATTCCCTCCAGCCTAGGAACCAGACATAACTCTGTAAAAGCGTCAGACAGTCTGCAGCACACTCCTAGCCCTTCCCTGCCTAAATAACGCTGAGCTAACCATCCGAGCAGAAAATAAAAGGTTGCCGAAGACAACCACGACTCCAGTCTCAGAATCTGATGACAGACTACACCACCTTCCTCCAACTAACAGCCGTAAAGCAGTTTCCCATAGAAGCGTAGGCTGCTCTGCCAAACCTCCTGGAACTGTCTCCTCCATCAGCCTCGTGCGGCTCTTCCCGCTGACGTTACCAGGATGCTGAGCTCACCAGTCAGGAACTGCTTTGTGAAACACTATTTGTTAAATAAAATTTAAAGGGGGCTTACACCAAACGCCTAAAGCAGGTTGCATGAGGAGAGCTGGTAAAAAATATCAAATATGGAAATAGTAAGCAACAGTCAGTCAAAGTTTATTTCCTCTAGAGCCACAGCAGCTCCTATATTAATGACAGGAGGACAAACAAAACTTGTTTTTGCTGTTCACCAAGTTTATAATATTCTAGAGCTTGTTCTGTTGCTTTGACGTTTGCTTCTGCTGATGCTACAAGTCGGTAGTATGTTATTTACATGTGTGTACTCTCCCACAGTCTCTATGTCATGTCAGTAGGTTCCATGCTACTCTCCCAGGGGAAAACATGGGCACTGCTGGCTGCCCTCAGGCAAGGCCAGACAAGGGTTTTGCCTGGTCAGTAACTCCTCATTTACAGAAATCCAGAAAACCCATTGTGCATGTCCACAATCAGGCTGCATCCCCTGAAGCCTCCAACAGAACACACACGTTCTCTGCTTAAGTATTTGTATAGTAACTCTGTAACACACCAACTTTAATGTCATAATACACCAACTTTATTATTATCATACATCAACTTTATTATCTCCAAGGGACAGGGAACGAAACCTCACTTCCCTTTACCCTCCTCCCCGCCTACAGCGCCCTCCACAAAATGGCGCCACGGGCTGCCCTGGCGCTTCACGGCCCGCGGACACGCGGCAGCGGCTGTCCCACGTGACCGCGAACCAGCGACGTGATTGGCTGGCGTCGTGTGGGGAGGGAGCGGGAGGGCGCTGAGGTGGCGGTGGCGGTGTGGCTGTCCCTGTCCCTGTCGTTATCGTTGTTATCGCTGTCGCTGTGGGTCGGAGCGCGATGCTGGGGCTGCTCTCCAGGGTGCTCGCCTTCTTCTGGAGGCGGGCGGAGGGCGATGAAGGAGGAGACGTGAGGCGGACGGGCGCAGGTAGAGGTTCCCGCAGGGCTGCATGAGGCCGGGTGCGGGGCTGAGTGGGGCCGGGCCGGGGCCGAGCTGCTCAGGGCGGGGAGGCAGAGCGGGAGCGGGAGGGGATTTGTTGCCTCCTAACCGCGTCCTGGCAGCTGCTTCACAGCGCCTCTCCTCAGTGCTTTAACCCCTGGTGCTGGTTAGAGCATGGAGTAAGGCGTGAAGGGTGTGTGGTGCCAGTTGGGGCTTTGCTCTGTAATACCGTGTTCATAAGTAAGTTCTCTTAACGCCTTTCTAATGGGCTGTTATGTGGAGAAGATCATAGAATCAGAGAATATCTTGAGTTGGAAGGGAGCTCATTAGGATCACTGAGTCCAACTTCTGGTTTTGTCCAAATTATGTCCAATGTTCATCACTTAAAATTGCTTTTAAAAGAATTTATGATGTTGATAGAATGAAAACATCAGCAAAACAAACCTGTTAATACCTCTAAAAGATATATTTACGGCCTGAAGTCACTGGAGAAATAACTTCAGCTTTCAATTCTTCCCTCTCAGAGGGCATAAATGCTGAGGATAAAATGTTTTATCTAAGAAATACATTTTTTTTGCTTACTTTTAAAACTTGTATTATGACTATTAGGTGAAGGAATGTAGCAAAAAAAATGTAAACATCGCTCCCCATCTATGAATAAACAAAGCTACCTGAACAAGTATTCCAACCTCTTCATTTGTAAGTAGTTCTTGAAAGATGTGCACTGCATCCTGCTGCCAAAAATAGCATAACCTCAGTGCTTTGAGGCTTCAAAATGGTGTACACTTAAGATGCTTCTAGTAGGGTTATATTTAAGTATTATTGAGGAGACAGTCAAGAGGAAGGTTGCATGATGGAGTGGACTGCGCAGCACGGAAACTTACTTAAAATTATGCAGTACGCACCCAGAAGTAAGTGGAAATGACTCAAACAAGATGTAATATTTTTAAAACAAAATCTTTTAATTTTTTGTTCTATGTTTAGAGCTAAACAAAAGTACTTCTTGGTTTCTCACATGGACACTTAATTGCAAAATTCGTTAAATACTACAGTACTATTAACTAGTTTCTGAGTATTTTTATGGAAGCTCCCCCAGGAATGCTTGTTTCTAAGCTACAACCTTTATGAACTAGGTGCATCAAACAAGGGAGGACTGTGTTTCTTGTAGAGCTGGAGCCTCACAGATGTTTCTTGGAACGAAATTAGGTTTTAAACAAAGCATTGTGTTTAGATTTTAAAACCTTGTGCTTTGTGGCTGTAGAAATCTTATTTTTCATGCATACTGGTAGTATGTTCAGATTGTAGGATAATACTAAATGTTTTGTGTTGGAGCAGGTATATGGGATGGTTTAACAGGGAGGAGCAGTCTGGTGACTTAAGTAGACATTTTGTTTACTGCAACATTAACTATGATAAATGCAAACATCTTACAAATCATGCTTTTTTCAAACTGCTAAAAAGTACTTCTTGCATACTTAGGTAAACAAAGCAAAACAAACTATTAATAGTCATGGTTGTTAGTGTAGCTAATAATACCTTAGAACTGTAAAGCCGGGCTGAAGTATATTAGCTTAAGCCTGACATTGTACTACAGTGCTGTTGAGGGAAAGTTTCTGTGGTGTGTAAGTAGATACTACTTCTAAAACAAAAGACTTGAAAGTTATGGATTTCCAAAGGAACAGCACTTCTCAGTTCAGAAGCATATTAATTATTACACAAACAGCTGTGATAAATTGATTTTATAGCATCATGCTTGTTCGCTTTCCCTACTTTTTCAGTGTAGAAAACTGAAATGTGTTGGATTCCTTATGAAAAGAATGCTGAGAACTGTTTCTTTTGATATGGAAAATACTGAAAATAGCTGTTGGCCCGGAACTTTTGGGAGAAATTGTTTAGCTTTCAGGTTTTTTTGTTTGTTTGTTTTTAATTTTTTTTTGAAGTATGTTTTCTATATAGCTTAAAGACGAACAATATTTGTATTTAACAAGCTTTCTTCTATAAGCCTTCAAGTTTTAAATGTGAAACTGATTTGTAATTGCTGTGGATATTTAAGCTAGGCAAGAGAATGACTTCTTGATCAAAAGTAATAGCATTCTTACTAGCATTCATTACACATTTAATGGTTCTTTGATCAAGTGATTTGCTTTTACACCTACTTTTTGTAGATGCAGGTCATAAAGAAGTAAAAACCATGCAAGGAGTGGTGACGAGATTTTGCCATGATTATGGGATGATCAATGACTTGATAATCTTCACAAAAGACGCCGTTTCAAATGGTATGCCGCTGGCTGTTGGACAGGAAGTTATTGCTGTTGTTGAAGAGGACAAAATATCAAGTGGCTTGAAGGCCATCAGGGTAAGAGGTGAATATAAATGGTAGTCTCACTTTCTCTGTAAATTAATTGAGACTGTGTGTGTTGTGGAAGTTACTATAATTTTAGTCTCCTGAATGGTTAAAAAAAAAAAAAGAGAAACTGCCAGCTTTTCACTTACAGAGGATAATTGGTTTTGGACTGAATGTATGCTATTTTCTTTAGCGTATTATTCTTGTAGTGCTCGTGCTCTGAGTGTAGATCCAGATGTAGTAAATATTATACTGTTGGTTGAGGTAAGTGCATCAGAGTTTGTTTAATCATAGCTAACTCAAATCTGTATGTTCCCTTTTGAGTTTGAGTTATATTTATGACATTGCTATATGAATTGATAGGGAAATAAAGCAAGTGTCTTTAAGTTTACTTTTCTGGAACAAAAGTGAACAAGAACACAAATGTCAGAATTTCTTAATGTAAAAATTCAGTAACTTAATGCCAGAGTTTTTAAAAGGGACATTTTGATGCTTCAGTACATCTTGATGCTTCATCTGTAAACCTACTTCAGGCTTGATTATCTATTGCTTTCAATTTTAATCTGCTGTTATTTTTTAAAATCAGATAGGCATAGCTCAGGTGCCTGTGATAATCTAGCTTTCTTACACAGAGAGGCTGAGTCAAATAGCCCTTCTTTTGTTTGGATATTATGTAAACATAACTGCTGCTTCAAAGGCTGCCAGCCATGCAGAAGCACTTGGTAACTGGGGATACAGAACCAATCTTCTTTGCTGGCATCTGCTCAGCTTAGCTACGTTATGCTTTGAGTTCAGCACTGGGCCAGTGTGCTTCATCAGCAAACTCACCCTGAACAAAAGCCTGAGCCAAAGAGAGTAAGTCTAGCTGGACTTGAGCTGGCTGCAGGGAGCCAGTCTCAATATAACTGTGATTTTGAAGCTGACTTTCCTTGTAAATGGATATTTTATAATTAAGAATTTTAGGTTCTCCTGCTTCTTATAAAGAATGTAGTTATCATAGTAGCTTCAGGCATCATGCTGCAGGTAATAGGAAGTTGATGGTTAAACAAGGTATTAGTAAAGATTACAAAAAAATCAGAATAAAGTTCTTATACAAAGGTTTAATGGGAGTAGAAGCGATCAGATTGAAGAGCTCATCATTGCTATTTACTTGCCCTTACTATGTTAAGTCGACAAATGATGTCAATAACTAGGGAAAGGAGGTCAAAATCTTGCACTGATTAGCATGTAGAGTTGATGTCTCATACCTTCCTTCTGTGCAGTATCCTGATTTTGTTACTTCAGAAACGTTTTGGTCAGTATCCAGCAATAACCATCTGTCTTACGGAAGCCAGTTTGCATTATCTCGATGTGTACCACACCTCGCTTAGTGTCAAGTGGTGTATGTTTGTAGCAGGATGATTTACAGATCATAACTGAAACTGGTGGCTTGTCTGTTGCAATGTATGGTTTTCCGAACATGTCTGTTGAACAATCCTGAAACTGTAGAGCGTACTTTTTATTTCTCATTTTCACCTTCCCAAATCCTTAAAATCTGAGCATTTGACCCATCTATTTTAATTTCCCACGTGTCTGAATTCAAGCTCAAACCGTAAACTACTGAACAGCTGGAATTCCACTTGATGGTCATGTATATGTGCAGAGGCATCTGCAATGTGTCTGTGATGTGTAGATCATGTAATTGCTGGTGTGCCTTGCTGCATAAAACATCCAGTGTTCGGAAAAGGTGCATGTGGTGGCAGGCATGTGTTAGATGTGTATGTGAGCTTTATGTGAGTATATATGACTGAAAATGTAAGAATTTTAAAAGTGACTATTCATGCTGCTGCTCTTTTTGAAGAGCTGTGTGTATGGCCAGTAGAGCCTTTGTAAGGAAGGACCAAATACCATCACAGGCTGCCTTCTGATTGATTGCATGAACAGTTCAGTACAACACAGCTCTATTCCCTGTAGTAGATTCTTCCTATCAGTGTGATTTTGTGGATGTAGGAGAAGTGAAGGTATGTGTTTACCATCTGAAAGAGTTGCTTTCTGTAAAATATGTGTTCCTACAGAAGGTAATCTAGAAAGTTACATTTATTTTACTATCACGCTTAATTTGCCTTGAATTTAAAGATCCCCTTAAGATTTTAAGATCCCCTTAAGATCCTAACTTCCATCAGTCAGTATAGCTGTTAATTTTATGGAAAGACCTGGATCTACTTAACCTGTAAATGGGAAACCAGTGCAAAGATACTGGATGGTGGCCGAAAGCCTTTTTTGTAATCGCTATTGATCAGTAATAACCATGCTTTTCAGTTGAACATCATACACATTCCATGAGATGAACACTGAGTTAAGGGGGAAGCCAAACTTTCTGGCTGCTCTAAGGACTTGCACATAAGTTCCTATTTCCATCATGGAAATAGCCTAGAGGCTGCTTATTTATTAAAAATCAATGTTCAGGAGTTTTTCTTCATTAGTGGCTGAATTGGCAGTAACTGTGCTGAGTCTGGTAAAATGAAGTTGGTTGAAAATGTGACCTCTCAAATAAAAGTAGATAGAAAATTAAGTGCTAGAAGACTTAAGTGATTTGCATTTTACTGTGTGATGTTTGGGTGTTTAGATGCATTTTATATATTCATGAGTTCTATAGATGATTGGAGAAACGTAGTAGTTACTTCAGTGGACTTTTTTCAAGCTCCGTTGCTGGTTAGATAATAACTAATGATGCCAAACTATTTCTGAGATGTTTCCAGTTCTTAACAACTAGGTCTTTTTTAAATCTGAATGTAAGACATCTTTTTTTATAACATGATTTCAAGAAGATTTCAAATGTTTCATGCTTCCATTTTGCGCTGTTTTCTCCTGCCTTTTACTCAGAATAGCATCATGAACAATTCCTGAAATAAAGATGTTTCAAATTAAAAACCAGAACTATGTAAGACTACATCACATAGTAAAATGAACTCCAGTTACACGCAAAATTGTTGGAGTTTTTCCTTGGAAACCCATTTCATTTTTGCAACCAATGCAGTTTTGCTGATGAAATGAGACTAAGGAAAGAGTAATAAAGACAGAGTTTGATCATAGGACCTAAAATGAAATACCACAAGAAATCTAATGTAAGATTTCTAAAATATTGTCAGCTCTAGGACTTATATTTAAAAAATAAATAAAAACCTAGCATCTTGTAAGGTAACCTCATTTTCCTTCATTTTATCTATTTTAGTGGTATTCACAATCAAATAAGTAAGGAGAGACAGCTCATTTCTTCAAAGGATGCAGTAGTCTGTGAACTCCTGCAAATAAAAGAAATATGGTACAACTGTTCTTTTCAGACAGAAGAGGAAAAAATGCAGTATAGCAGTATTGACTGTAGAATACATAGTTGTGTCCTTAAACTGTTTGCAAACCGGAGTAGAGATGGGGTGCTGAGCAGCCTGATAGAGCAGGTGGCATCCCTGTCTGTGTCGGGGGTTGGAACTGGATGATCTTGAAGGTCCCTTCCAGCCCAGGCCATTCTGATTCCATGGTGGGCAGCTGAGCTCCACCACAACTGTGCTCTCACTCACTGTCCTCAAAGGGAAGCCCCTCATTCTTCTGTGCCACTCCGGGGGGAGGAGGTGGAAGAGGGTGGACTGGGGAAAGGTGTTTGCAGTTTTTCTTCGTTTCTCACTTCTCTAGCTTGATAGTAATAGGCAATAAATTTCTCTAATCTTTCTCTACTTTGAGTCTGTTTTGCCCGTCACAATAATTGTTGAGTAATCTCCCTGTCCTTACCTCAACCCTTGAGCCTTTCGCATTGTATTTTCTCCCTCTTTCCTTTGCGTTGAGTGAGAGAGTGTCTGGTGGAGCTCAGCTGCCCAGCTGAAGTAAAACCACCACAGCCAGCATCAGGGATATGATCGGTATGGTCAAGACAAAGCAGTTAATATTCAGTCTATTCTTGCTTTGTAATGTACTTGTTCTTGGTAAAAATGGTCTCCAAAAAGTGCACTACACAAATGTAACCGCATGTAACAAGTCTAAAATTCCTTTTAATATTTATGAAAAGTGTGGGCATAGGACTGATTTTCATCTCTGCACAAATGTTGATCTGTAAAAGAAAGATGACATTACACAGACTCCTTTGTTGGGGTGACTTTTCACATTATACATTAAGGAAGTACTTTCTAGTTCTGAGTTTCTAATCTTCACATAGAAGTGAAAACACTACAGTTATTTATTTCTTTTCCATCCAGTTTAGGTTGATTTTGTTCTGGTTACTCTCACTGCATTATGCTAGGTTTCCTCTCAGCTTCTTTATTCTGGTTGTGAATTTGGAGATGCTTTCTGAAATAAGCTTTCGTGGAACATCACCTTAAAAAGATGAAAATATTATTGACTGTGTTAACTTAATGATCTGATTTGTACACTTACACTACATATGTATCAGTCATTGAAAAAGTTGTCCACAGGCATTTCATTCAATTTGTTTAATCACCGCAGAGATATCTTGCATACTTTCATAATGCTTTCTTCCATCCTAATCCTCGTTACCCTCACAAAAGAATTGGCAATCTCCTTCCTTCTGCTCTGTTGCACAGTGCAGTTTCTCTGTGTACTATACGGAGTCAGCAGTTCTTGTGTGACAGTTGAGTGCATCTGTGCGGTGGCATTGGCATTGTTACTGGTTCCATCAGCGCTTCTAGAGAGCGAGGAAACTGAATAATAAGCATTTGAAATGTAGAGCCAGGACTCCTGACCCCACGATGGTAGTGGCCCTACAGAAGCAAGGAAGGCAATTCACAGCTCTAGGCATTGTTAGTGTGCTTATATTGAGTAATTAACAGCAGAGGTCCTATTATCCTTGGCCCCAACATAACCGTGCGGGGTTAAACGGGTTTGTAAACTTTGATAGTTTGTGGCTTGCATTCTGCAAAGGCCTGCTTAAGCAATTAAACTTACTTTTGAGGTGCTGATACAGAGAGCATTTAAGAAGCAGATGTTTGTTTTCAATCTCAATGATTAAAGAATGACTGAGGGACAGCCTAAAATGCATAAGGTGTTTATAAATGGCATTTTGACAATGTGTATTTTAATTGCTTTCTGAAATAGTGATGGTCTAGATCCACTTGCATACAGTTAAATTGCAGGGTTGAGGATACAGTTCCTCTTATCAATATTAAGAAACCCTTAACAGTAGAGCTAATGCAGAAGAGGCATGACATACGTTTGGCAAATCAATATTTAACTATTTAACTGTCTACCACTGAAGCATGCAGCAGATTTCTTAAAGGGGAAGTTCCTAGCTGTTTACTGCTCCTTCTTGTCTACAAAAATGAACAGCTATGGTGAGTATAGCATTGTCTAATGAGTTTGACTTCCAGCAGCAGTTGGAATTCTGAGAATTTCATAAAATCTATATAAACTGTCTGTGTTGCCACTCTCTGTGCTACCCCAGCCCGAGAGACAACATCAATTGGCTGCCTAGACCGCTGCTCCCAGAGCAGAGACACCAGAGATGGACACACTGTGTCTAGCTCAAGTGCCAATTTATTGCTGTGTAGCATAGCTTCTTACACCTGTACACACGACCGCCCCTGATCCCCCTGACTCTTTGTTCCACCCGTGGTCCCTCCCAATCCTCCCTCCACATCTCCCCCCACAGTCTGCTTTATAAAATAAGCACACACTTGTAAGTGTCAGCTGTGCATGTTTTTTTCTGTTTATTGTATTAATAGGTAGATGCAGTGCAGACTACATGGGAAAGCTACAGTACCGCTTGTGATGCTTCTGAGCAGCATGCCAGAATATTAATTGGCAATATTACTTCTCTCTGCAAGGATGGTGGCTACATTAATCAGACTACTCATTTCACAATGGAAGATGTCTGTGAAGGTGTGTAGGGGCTTTCTTGTTTGTTCTTCCTTAATTTTCTGTTAATCTGAAGCACGAAGACCGCATCACAAAGAAGTTCTGATAGTGTATGTAGTGAAATAAATAAGGGGAGTTGGGTGAAGAAAGCTGTGTCGTCATTCTCACTGAGCATGATGTACTTGCAGTCCTGAAGTATAGAAGTGTACTTTCCACTGGCACCATTTGCATAGTCTGTCATAACCTGCTCGGGATGAGAACAACTAAAAAGAGAAGCTTCAACTCATTGGATCTAAATAATTCATTGTTCTGGCTGGTCGCATTGTTTAACTTCAATTAGTTCTGTATGGGAGTAATGCAAATGCAATCAATTGCAATTAACTTGAAATGTTCTGTTTCACATAGGTTTCAAGCCTTATGTAGGTGACTTGGTGCAAGCACAGTATTTTATTAAACCAACAACATGGAGCAGTGAAGCAGTTGATGTAAAGCCTTTGAGATATAAGCGAGTGGACAAGGTAAACGTTCTGTGTGTTGTTTTTCATGGAATCATAGGATGGCTCAGGTTGAAAGGGGCCTTAAAGATCCTCCAGTCCACCCCCCTGCCATGAGCAGTGATGCCACCTACTACATTAGGGCTTTTGACAAGGGGAATCTTGCATGAAGTTGCGGAGTTTGTGGGTACTTTCAGGATTGCAACTATTGGTACATGTTTTTAAAGATGTGTTGCATAAAAGATAACCAACTCATTGCTGGTTTAGAAATAATCCTATATGTGAAGGCCCTTTTAAAATTTAGGCACGTTCTGGATAGAACAGGCTGATTAACTAACATACTGGCTATTGATTCTGAATTTGGATGCTTACTGGTTTAGTTATGTTGAAAATCCACACATCCCTACTGCAGCCAAACTTTTAAAGAAGCAATAACTGGAATTTGTGTTAAACTTGACCAAGTATGTCGGCTTTAAAACAGTAATTGTCCCTTTTTTATTTTACTGAAAATACTCATGCCCTCTAGTAATAGTGATTTCTATGGCTTATTGTATTTAGCTTAACTTTATATGTAGAATAATATCTGCTTGTCCTCATAGGAAGAGGAGGAAAAGAAAATTCCTCCTGTTGTGACTGCTAGTACTGAAGTCTTCCAACTTACCCGATTTATACAACGGGTATCATTATTAAGTCAAACGTACCACATGGAAGTAGAACCTAATGCTTGAAGTGCTTCTGTCTCTCTCTTTACATCTTTAAATCTATAGACAAGACAGTGATTCTAGGTTAAGGCTGTATGTTTGTCTTTCAAAAATAATTGAAATTTCAGATTGTTGCTTTGTTAATGCTAGTGTGACTTTCACAGAAAACTAAGCAATGATAGTATGTCACTTAGATTATTCAGTGTTACTTGGTATTACCTACTTAACAACCTGTTCCAGGTTCGCGTTTCCAGCGTCTGTGGAAGAAATGGTACTGTAGATGAGAATATATTTTTCACTTTGGATTCGTTGAGACTTCCTGATGGCTATTCACCTCGTGTACATGATATAGTGAATGTGATTGTGGTGGAGAGCAATCAGTCATTTTATGTTTGGAGAGCTCTCTGCTTGGCTCCAGTCGACCAGAAGGGGTAACATTCATTCTTTTCTTCTTTCCACTTGCTAATGACTAAGGATAAATTGCAGCTTGCAGTTTAGATGCAATTTTCTTGCATCTATTACGCAAGAGATACTGTGGGTTGGATTCTTGACTAGTTGACTAGAAGACATGATTATGGGAAGATCAGAGCGTTATGTTTTAGCCCTGGCTCTTTCTCCTTCCTTTCCAGAAGGTGGAGGCATCTGTGCTTACTAAAGGAGTAAAACCAGTAGCAGCTGAGCTCAGAAATACAGCTAGGCAAGGATGGAATTTTGCACAATTTAGTTAGAATAATGCCAAGCTCATGCTTTTACTTAATTTTCAGTACTTTGTGATGTTCTTCCAGTGAGGACTTTACTGTTTGAAACCTATATTCAGTGGAACTGACATGAAATAAATATAGTTTAGTATGGGAAGAAGCACAATCTTATGAAATAATCCCCTACAGAAATGCTGAATATGCAGTAATGAGCCAGTAGCAGTTCTGCAGGACACATCTGTAGCTGGACTTCTGAGTTCAAGTCAGCACTCAGTGCTGACAGGGACTGGGTGGGATTGCTCAGCCTGATTCTGTCAGCCAGAAATAGGCAGTGGACCAATGGGAGAGTCAAAAGGAGAGTACAACAGACCTTCCTATACCTCAAAAACATCACCTATGGAAGAATTTGCTTTCTTCCTCTCTAGAGGCAGTATGCCCCCATAAAGGGCAGTATGTCCATCTTCAAAGGACCTGTGAAGAATGGAATAAGCTGTTAGTTCTCACTGGAAATAATGCTTACCTTGTACCTAGGTAGAGCTGGAAGTGTTTGCATCACATTGAACACAATGCAGTTTGTTTGGTTGAGCTTATTAGTGATGGATTTTATATTCAAAAATCTTACAAAAGTAGATATTAGGGTTGATTTCTCAGGTTTCATGGATTTTCTTACATCAAAAATGAGCCAGGGTAAGCTGCAATGGGAGACATCTAGTGGGCTTTGAGAGTAAACTCTGCAGCTAATAAAGAGCAGCTATGATAATTTTATACTTCATTGCGTTAGGTGACTAAGGTACTCACTGAGGATATATAAATATCAGAGAAATGATTAAACCAAGTGCCATTTTAATGAACTGAATACTCTCTTAATTGTAGAGCAGAAATAATTTTGAAAAAGGCTTGCTGGTAGCTGACACTGACCGTTGAGAGCTACAGTTGCTGTCTGACAGGAAAGAGCACGTGGCTTTGGTCTTGAAGGCTTTTTTCATCACTAATGTGTATAACAGTAGTATTTAAGGTTTTTTTTTGTTTTTCAGCTTATTAAACTTTTTAAAGTATGCTTGTAGACTGCAGCAGGCAGAAGACCTAAGTGCTTAGGGTATGTGTTCAGAAAGGTTTGAAGGCTAGTCATTTTTCTTTCTCAAGCTCTGCTGCTCAGCAAGACTCTTGCTAAGGACCCTGGTCTCTCTTGTGTCTTGGTTCAGCTCCCAAAGAGATCCACAGTAGCTTCAGTCACTGTTTGGATTTGGTTCAGTTCTTCAAGGAAGACAGCTAGCTTCTTAATCAATTTTATCTTGTATTAAGAGTTTCAGAGTTTGGTTTATTGTGTTGTTAAAAACAAGCGTTTCATCAACTTGATGAAACAACATCAGCTAATGAAGGTAACTTAATGGTTTTGGAATTACAACTAGCTGAGAAAGCAAAGCCTCTCCCCTGCTTGTTCATAAATATTGTGACTATTCTCTGGTGTAGTTGTTCTTAAAGATAATTCCTGAGTGAGTGTGCTGAATCAGTGATGTTTCCATAGTCAATTTGTTTTAAATTCCCTACCTAAAATTGAATGACTACATAAAATCCAATCTTCTTACAGACAATCTCACTCCAACCCAATTGATCTGGATGACCCATATGAAAACTTAATGAGAAACAAAGGAGGGCTGGAAGTATCAAGAACAACTGATTTTGGAACTCTGAAGCAGGGGGAATCTAGAAGCATGATCGTTTGGATAGAGTAAGCCCTTCTGGTTGTTCTGAGCTTTCTTCCTTTCCACCCCTCCATAATCTGTAAGCTTGTCTTTCATACAGAAGCCTTTTGTCATTCAGTGTTGTTGTTTATGGCCTTTAAGTAATCCACTGCAGTGCTTTTATCAAGCAGGGCAACTGAGCTCTGCTACAGCTGCTCTCTCACTCCCCCTACTCAAAGGAAAAAGGGGAGAAAATACAGGATCAAGAGTTGAGATAAGGACAGGGAGTTCACTTACCAAGTATTGTCATGGGCAAAACAGTCTCAGCATAGGGGAATTAGTGTAATTTATTGTCTGTCACCAGCAGACTAGAGCAGTGAGAAACTAAAAGCAAACCAAAAACACCTTTGCCCCCATCCACCCTCTTCTACCTCCTCCCCCCAAGCAGCACAGGAGAATGGGGACTGGGGACTGGCGCTTTGTCTCTGCTGCTCCTTCATTGTCACTCCCTGCCCCTGCTCCAGGTGGGGTCCCTCCCACGGGATGCCGTCCTTCCCGAACTGAGCCTGCGGGGGCTGCCCACAGGCAGCAGCTCTCCAAGAACTGCTCCCCCACGGCTCCGTACCACAGGCTCCATCCCCCAGGAGCAAACTGCTCCAGCATGGGTCCCCCATGGGCAGGTGGCAGCTCCCCCCAGACCCCCTGCTCCTGCGTGGGCTCCTCTCCACAGGCTGCAGCTCCGGCCCAGGGCCTGCTCCTGCGGGGGCTTTCCATGGGCCACGGCCTCCTCCAGGCCACAGCCACCTGCTCCACCAGGGACTCCTCCACGGGCTGCAGCGTGGAAATCTGCTCCATGTGGGACCCATGGGCCGCAGGGGAACTGCTGCTGTGTGCCTGGAGTGCTCTTTCCTCTCTGAAATGAGGAGCAATGTAAATGTTTTGCTTGTGTGTGTTCAGTTTAAAATGCAGATATGCTGTGTTCCTCAGTCTTAAAACAAAACTGTTGTACACTTGTATATTAAAAGCATACCAGACTTTTTTTTTTTTCAAAACCTGCATGCTGGCGTACTATGTTGGTGCATCCTTGGATTTTCTATTTGTTTTAGTGGGGTTTTGTTCACATCTGTACAAAGATGCTGAGGTGGAGTCCAACCTGAATACCACCTATTTGTTGCTGTGTGTTTTTTTCCTAAAAGTTTGTTACCCGGTATTTGGAGAAGAAAAAGAAAAGCTGTTGCTTTTTTCATACATGGTACTTCTGTATGCATGTTGCTGGTTCTTCTGCTATACTTTGTAGAGTGGTTGGTAGATCTGGAAACACTACATTCAGCAGAGGTTCTAGGCCTTGTGAGTTAGAAGCAGCAGTTGCTTCTTTCCAGTAGTGGTTATGAAATAATGGTGACCTGACCCCACTACAAATGGTTGCGTTTAACTACAGGTAGAATTAAGCTTGCAGAGATGAATCCTAACTGTGCATTTAATTACGTAATTACATAACTATTTCTAGGAATAAAGGGAGTGTACCACAGTCCTTAATCAGCTGCAGATTAGCTGGATGGGTGAAAGACAAGCAATTCAGTTTTCAGATTCCTCAAAAATGCCAGGACAGTCCATCAGCGCATCTGTCATCTTCTGCAATAAATCAAGAAAATGTCTCAAAAGCTGTGATTAATTTCTGTAATGGCAGTGGAGGAACAGCATATGAGTCACTGAATAATGCATGCGTTACGAAGAATGGAGTCATTTCAGGTACAGTGAATTATTACCATTTGAATTCTGAGTGTTAACTCATGAGAAGACCCATAGGTTTCTTTGAAGAGGCTTGCCTGTGCTAGCCATAACAATCCTGATAAAAGAGTTTGTTATGTTTCCTGCAGATGAAAACAGTCCTCAGGAAAGGAATTTATCAAACACAGAAGAAAATGTTTCCCTTGTAAAAGATGAGAATCTCTATAATGGTGAAAAAGAGCAAAAAGAAGATGTTGAACAGGCAGTAAATCACACTAACATTACTGGAGAAGTCATCATACCACCAGGTGGAAAAACATCTGTAGTGATCATATGCACAGCTGTGTAGGTATTTCTTTGTTCTCACTGATATGGTGGAAACAAATCATAAAAACTGACTTAATACTTCCCTTATTCTGGGAACTGTTGTGGGTTTTTTTTTTGGTGTACATTAAAGCCAGTATCTGTTAGCAAATGATGTAGAAATCTATACTGGCACTTGAAGTGGTTGGCATTTTAACATTTCATTCTGACGTTTGTCAAGAGAAAAGATAATAGTAAATGAAGAAATATAGTGGGAGTAGGTAGTTTATGGGAAAAGGTAGTAAGGTAAAGGTAAAGTCTACAGCTGGTTGTATTCTGTTTGGGAAATCAGTTGCTTTATGAGCAGTAGAGCTAATGCAGCTTTCCAGGGGATTTCTGTGTGTTGTCTGATTGATGTTTCTTCTGGTCTTAGCACCCTGAATGTATTCACATTGCTCTACATCCCAGTCTCAAACTTCCCTGTCCTGTGATGTTAAGTGCAAGTTATCTGTGCCAGGGAAAACAAAACAAAGCAAAAGATAATAAATCACCTTGTAAATGAAAGTACTTGCTGTACAAAATATTTCGTCGAACTGGCTAAGAATAGTAGGTTGTGGTTTGGTGAGCTCTTTCGGAACTCAGGAAGGAAACTCTTGCTGGAAAACTTACTTTCATGTAATTTTCAGTTACTTTTGATGTAGCTCTATAAACTGTGTACCACCACCATTGATTTTTATGATCTAAGTTGAACGGGGAAAACAAGGTCAAATTGTTTAATTCATCAAAATGATAATACATGAACTTTCCAGCTACTTCTGTTACTCCCTGCCTCGTGATTTTAAAACAGCAGCAATTTTCCTAGGGTGATTTAGCTGCAGTTTGGAAGGTAAGCTGCCAGCATGGCCTGTCTTTATGGAGAGAGATGTGTAGAAAGAGCAATTAATATTTCACTGTAGATCTGTAAATGCCACAAAGCCTGAATGAGGATCTTAAAACAATCCACACAACTCAATGGGAGAGTACAGTATGAAGGTAACAAGTACTGGCCACCTATGGGACCATAAGGCCTGAAAATTTAGACCATAAATTTGGACAGTTTGGTGTCTGCACTGAATTTGTATATATCAGGGAGGAAACAGACTACAGCTTTAACCTGAGTAGGTAGTGTTAGTTGGCACAAAAAAAGTGGCACTTCTGCCAAAGAGAGAGTAAGCTGGAATCCTTCTGGGATGCTTCTGTTTCAGACGCACAGTAACAGTAGTAGACTGTGTAGTTAGTGCTGAGGAGAGAATTTGGCTCTAGATAGTGCTGGGAAGAGTCCTTTAAGGGCTTTTGGAGCAGATGGTGTGTGCAAAGGGTTTTGGTCCGATGTTCGTTAGAACTGGATCTGAAGAAACAGTTCCCTCTGACCTTTTTTCTTCTGTCACTCCCCAGGCCCACTTATAGATACAAAGTGCATTTTTTTCAGAAGATCAAGATCTTTCCTGCTTTCTCCACTTGATGTGTTTGCAGTTAGGACTCCATTCTGAGTAGCCTTAAGCAAGGCAGAGCAAAAGTTGTTGCTGCACACTGCTGGGGGCGGGGGGGGGGGGTTAGGGAGGGGATCTGCTGTAGGCTCCTCCACTGGAAATGCTTGGCTCATCATTTTCAGGAGCAGTAATTACAAGACATTCCTTGCGATGGACGTATTAATTCTGTACCTGGTATGTTGAGGAGAGGGGTTCTGTCCCTTACTCAAGCTTTTGATGAAATTGGAGTGTTACATTTTTTTTAATTTTTTTTGTTTTATAACATGATACCTGGACTGAACTCAGTGTAGGGAGTGAGTGTAAGGAATTGCCCCAAGTTAGCAGCTCTCTTGTTACTAAAACAATGTACGGTTTTACTGAAAAGAGTACTTACGGCTAAGGAAAAGACAATGTGATGATTTTAAGAACTTAACTTTTGCTTGCTTGAAGAAATCCTGGATACAGTAAAGAACTCCTGTTGCTTGGATTTTCTGATTTTACTATCGGACGCTATATTGAAACCACAGTAACAAATGAAGCAGAGCTTCTAATAGCACCTGTGGAACCATTTTCTTCAAGAAAGCCTAAAATTACTTCAGTACCCCAGCAAAGGACGACAACGGTGGTTGCCCCTATATTCAAAAGGTACTGTGAGTTAGGGGGGCGGGGAATAATGCTTGTCTTATCTTGTTGTATTCAGTATTGCTGTATCTGTTTTGTAATGCTGACAAACGCCAAACAAGAAGAATTTGTGAATATTTATATGTGTATGTTGTAAACGTTTTAATTTCAGATTTTACTGACACGTTTTTGGTAGTGTACTGCTTGATTTTTTTGTAGTCTCTTCATACAGAAGCTTCCTACTATATAATGTGATTTTTAAATTTTAAATTAGTTTACTCTGCAACTGTCCTACAAGTAACAATTGTTATTGTAGATTTTTTTTCTTAATAATTTTCTAGAGTAAGTTAGCTTCTTAATTCCTCAAGCAACCTGACATCTGTATTAGGTGATGCTTTTCCTAACTTGATTTCAGAAGTTTTCCTCTTCCAGATAAACTTCTATAATACTTAGTATTTGCTTAGTTATAACAATATCACTAAATGGAGAAGAGGATAGAAGCAGACACTTTTTTTAAATACTGAGTAATTGGAACACTTATCTTTTGTCCCAATGTAGAAAACTTAACAATTATCACCTTGAAGCAATCTGTTGTTTTGTGGCATGTGGTTTCTTGTAGCCTTGAGGATGTGGCATGTTAATTTGCTGTCCTTCAAAAAAAAAAAAAATGAAGCTACCGAATGATTTGACATGTTCTTGTTTCAGAAATAACAGAAAGCTTCCAAGCTTCCTCCCGCATTATACCATACCAGATGAGTTAAGAAGATGTGTGGAGCAGAAGTTAGACGTACTGACCTTCCAGCCTCTCCTAGCAGAGGTATGCAAGTGTAGGTTTATGTAAGAAATTGTGTTTTATGTAAGCATGTCTGTTCAAGCTGAGCTTAATTTATCAGAAACTTGTAACCCTTAGTGTAATATAAGTTGATATAATGGTGTTAGCGAGTAGACTAAGACTGCAGTCTGTACCCTGTAACTTAGACTGGTTTCAGTATGTCACAGCATTCAAGCTTAGAAGAAACTAAAATGGTAAATGTGAAAAACTGAAAAGGGAGTTATATTATAGCAGGGAGAGATATTACAGTAGGTAAAAAAGATTCCTCCTCACTTCTCCTCTGCAGGCATCATTGAAAGGAGGTTTCAGGGTGTTGGAACAGTAGTCCAGCAGTTGTTTCATAGGAAATGAAAGCAGAAGTTCTTAGGCTTATTGCAGCAATAGAGGATTCTTTTCTGGCTTATTGCAGCAATAGAGGATTCTTTTCTGCTTGTTCAAAACCTCTTTTTAAATTCTCAAATGTACAGCTAGTTCAATTTCTTCCCATGAGTGCAGCAGTTCTAAAATACATTTTCTTAAAAAAGAAACCTAAAGTTTAGTACAAATATTAGTAATTCTTCAGAAACTGTCCTGATTTCTGGTAGAGCCCTGCTGATGATCAGTTCCCCTTCACCCCCCCCCCCCCCCCCAACTTTGTAAGGACTTAACGGAGGCAGATATTTAGGTAAAATGTGCTGTTTTCTTTCTGAACGGCTCACAAAACACCCTGAAATCATTGGCATATGGTAGTGTGCTAGAGATACTGTCTAGAGAAAACAGTAGTATTTTAAATAATTTTGTGCTGAAAGCCTGCTGGTAATAGTAACTTTTTTTAACCACATCTTAAGTTCCGTCTAATGCTGGTGACTGTTGTGAAGTCAGCACCAGAAAAGCACTGCTCATTCAAATTACATTTGAGTGAGAATTTATCGAACTGAAAGCATTCCTTGCCGCCAGTCACGGTTTAGGGAGAGGTTTGTGCTGTCGGTCAATGTGTCTTCAGTGAGAGTGCATTAAGCTGTGAGGGGGGGAAGTTGGGATTCTTTCAGCTTGCCGTAAGCTCTATAATCATCAGACAGGGCAGAGACTGATATGACTCCATCTTTACCTATCTCTGGCCAGCGTACTTAAATTTTTAAGCTTTCTGAGACTGGTGAACATATAATTCAGTTTCTAAACTGCCCCTGAATTCAGATGTTGAAATGCCCATTTTAGTTATGGGAGCCTAATATTCTAGGAGACATGGTTAATGCTTTAGCTGACTGGCTGTTTTATCTGATCTCCAAAGATACACAGATTCTGCACTGACTGTTGTGGGAGTTGAGCTTAGTGCATTAAGATGCTGTATTTAGTCACCTTAACTGGCAGCTCAGCAGTCTATAACTTGAACTGTTTCATGTAGTACTAAGATTGGTGGGGTCTGTACCTCAGCGTAGAAATTGCAACTGCAGTGTATCCTGTTCTGCTTTTCAGGGTCTTAATATAAATAATTACAAAGCAAAATTTTCTACTCTGTTATGGCTTGAAGAGATCTACGCAGAAATGGAGATAAAAGATTTTAGCATGAGTGGCATTACTTTGAAAAGGAATGGGAGCTTGTTAGTGTTAGAAGTGCCAGGACTGGAAGAAGGCAGACCTCACCTGAATACAGGTAGTAATTGATGTGAGATAAAGCCAAAGAGTTTGTTGATCTGTGTTTTTAGTGCAGTGCAAACTCTGTTGCATTGTCATACGCGTAAGGATTTGAACACAAAATAATTAATTTAGGCTACTGTACAGGTGATCTGCACTGTTAGTGTGTAAGTCTTACAGTGCCTGCTATCTGAAGAAGCATTACATGTCTGTTCTCATGAGTCTTCTCATATTTTTTAACTTACGTACAAAACTGGAGGAAGCTTTTCACAAAACAGTGTGCAATGTTTATTTTTGCAATAGGGGTATCAAAACTGGGAAAGTAATTAAGTATTCAATGTTATGACACACAGGATTCCAGAAAGTTTTGAAGGGTCTGATGGCACCAATACTAGGTGCCTTCTAAAATGTGATCTGAACTGCTATATGCAGTTAGGTCCTTCAGAGGTACTCATGGATCCAGCAGTTTTGCTGAAGTTAGTGAACATCTGTCATCCTGCAAATTCCAATCTTAACCATACAAAAGGGGAACAAATGAAGTGCCGCGGTGAGAATTTTACTATTCCTTGTCACAATGTCAGCTTTTTTTTTTTTTTTTTTTTTTTTTTTTTTTACAATTAGGTGATAAGGTGATACTGAAAAGTCAAGTCTACTCTGAGCATATAATAGAGTACGTTGCCTATATTACTGAGGTAAGCGAGATGTGTTTTCTGTTGAAAATACAGTAGTCCGCAGGATTCAGAGGGGAAGCGAGCACAACTCATGGAGCTTAACCTGTTTTGGGGAAGCTAGATTTTTATCTACGCCCTAAATAGTGTATTTTTATTGTTGATTTAGTTGTTTTGAAGATTGTAGGCTTCCTGTTTTCTACCTAGATTATAATTGTCACCTGCCCTAAAAGCACTCATAACATAATCTAAAAATGTAGTGTATTGGTATTTAGTAAATCTAGGTATTGGCTTTTTTTTTTTTTTATTATTCCTAGTGCTTTCAAAGATGCTTTATTGTGTGTAAAGGACTAAGCCCTACATCAGTAAACTTTTTTTCTTGCAACAGATACGTAATGAAGAAGTTACTCTTAAATTCAATGCAGATTTTGAACAGGCTTACAACTCGGAACCCATGGATGTGGAATTTGTTCACTGCAGGTATTTTATAGACTTGAAAAGAGCTCCATTTTGTGATTCCTCTATTAAAGCAACTTGAAAATATATGAGGCTGTCAGTTGGTAGTCTGGGCAGATAAAGGAAGGGCACAATTAAGAACTCAGGTGCCAATTCTTTCATTTCTTTCCAACTATATTCCTTGATAAGACTGCAATGGTAGGCACTACATACAAAACAGAGACAAGACAAGAATGTTTCAACATGTAAGTGATTGCTGCAATGCCAGGCAGTGAAGTAGTTTTTGGGGTGGTATGGGATTTCTTGTTGCTGTGTTTTTGGTTGCATGGGTTTCTGTTGTGTCGGTGGGTGGTTTTGTTTTGATTGTTTTTTAAGAAAAATATACCAATATGGCTGCGAGACTATTCATAAACCTTGAATTTTGCTTTATTTGTGGCATGTTATCTATATATAGCTGCGTAGTCTTCTATCAAAGATTGGCTTTGCCAAAAACTTACTTGAAAGACTATCTGACTCTGGAGTGCAAAGGCATCTTTGTCTCACTGAAGGGCTAGAGAATATGTGTATCAGTGCTGCTCACAGCATATCTGTTGATTAACATTTCTGCAGTGCATTTTTCAGTAAATACGCTTGTGTAAAAACTCCTGTTTTTGTAAGCAATGGTTCACAGAAGAAGTACTGGATGCCTTGTAGGGTGTATGCTTTTGCAGCTTACAGAATGTTGGGATTTTACTCTAACCGCAAACTGCTGATCTGCCTTTCTAACAACAGGATTACTAGCAGACGGTGCCAGCTGGCAGTTGAACAAGCTACCTGTCTGGGTGAAAAAGGTATGTTTCAGTTGACTAAAGCTGTCTGGAGGGGTTTGGTTATGTGGAGGCTCGTGTTTTATATTGCTTTCACATCAGGGCGTACTGAGAAGAATGCATTATAATAATATGTTCTTACAGTTTCCTGTAATTATTTTATTTAAAAAAAAATAGAAGAGCTTTTGGCCGTCACAGGGGACGTAAATGGAAACTTCAACTTCTGTCAACAGTTTGAACCAATGAGAACTGTATAGGCCATGCTGTGGTAACAGTAATATGTGAAATGGCAGTGGTTTACATTGCATCAGAATTAAATAAAAAGCACAGGCACCCTGTGTCTTATGGTTGAGTAGAACAATTCATATGAACTTCACGTGGGTCTTTCCCAGTTCTGCGATAGGTTTTGTTTCGAAAACTTAGAGCAAGCTGATATCAGTAAAATGTGTGTTGTGTTTAAGTGGTTTTCAAATTCCTTTCTTTATTCCCCAAACTTGAAGTTTTATTTCCAGAACGGCTTCTCTTACGGTCACCACAAGCTGTCAAGACCCAAAATATTACCGAGTACGGTGGTGTTGATGATGGCCTTGAACAATACTCCCAGCAGGAGAGTAAGGTAAATATTCTGTAAATATTTGTTAAAACTCTTAACAGCATTGGTAACAGTTAAGTACTGCACAGTTGTTGTTAGAAATGAGAGAATCAGTCGTGTTCTGCTGCTTCTGAAAGCCGATGCAGCTTGTCTTCAAAAAGGGCAAGAAGGAGGACCCAGGAACTACAGGTCAGTCAGCCTCACCTCCATCCCTGGAAAGGTGATGAAACAGCTCATTCTGGAGTCATCTCTGACCTTCTGGAGGATAAGAAGGTGATCAGGAGTAGTCAGCATGGCTTCACCAAGAGGAAGTCATGTTTAACCAGTGTGATAGCTGGAGTGAGCCCAGTGGAGGGCTATGAAGGTGATTTGGGGAATGGAACATCCCTCATGTGACGGCAAGCTGGGAGAACTGGGCCCGTTTCTCTTGGGGATTGAAGACTGAGATCAATATGAGATCAATGTGCATAACTATCTGAAGGGAGGTTGTCTAGAGCATGGAGCTGGTCTCTTTTCAGTGTTGCCTGGTGACAGGACAGGAAGCAGTGGGCACAAACTGAAGAATTGTGAGGGTGACAGAGCACTGAAACAGGGTGCACGGAAAGGTTGTGGGGTCTCCTACTCAGGAGATAATCAAAACCTGCCCAGCTGCTGTTCTTTGCAGTGTGTACTAGATGACCCTGCTTGGCAGTGGGGTTGGACTCGATCATCTGCAGAGGCCCCTTCCAATCTCAACCGTTCTGTAATTCTTTCTGATGACAGAAGGTCATTTGACACCTGGAGAGAGAATTTGGTAGCAACTGATGCTATTAAGCAACCCTCCCACCTAGAATGAGAAGTGCTAGTAACAACCCGTATGATTATAATTTGAATTGTCAGATTTGCATTAAACTAGTTTTAATAGCAACTTCGTAATACATGTGTAAAGTCTTCTCACTGTGGCAGGAAATAATTTTATGATAAAAGATAATCATCCTGGCCTGAGGAAATTTACCTGTGCTTCTTAACTGCTAGTTAAATTACAGGAAGAAATTATAACATCTTTCTTAAAAGGAGCTTAAGAATGCTACCTAATCATTCTTACTATTTGAAGCAGGACTGTCACCAATACCAGATCAAGTCTGTGTTGTGGTTGGGGTTTGTTTGTTTTTGTCCAGGGTTTCCAGAGCCTCCGCGTAACCTGTTTCAGTGTCTCATAATCTTTCCACTCAATTTTTTCCCAATTTCCAGTATCAATTTTTCTACCCACAACTTGTGGTTGTGATCCCTTGTTTATATAGTATGCTACTGCAAAGAACTGTTGGTCTTTTTTTTTTTTTTTCTCTAAGTCTTATTTATTTAAGCCCTTATGGGCATTAGATTCCTGTTTACCTCCTCCAAATTTAGCTAAAAAAGCTAAGTTCTTTAAGTTCTTAAGAACACGCTGTTGGTTTGTATGCATCTAGCTGTAACCCAGGATCCTGGAAAGGGCTTAGGGAACCCACTCAGACAGTGGGTTCACAGCTTGTCTTGGTTCATGCAGGTACTCAGTCCCAGGTACAGAGCTTTCCACTTCTTACTGATTTTTATGATTTTTATTTTTTTTTTATTGGCCTAACTGTAAAGTTTCTCATGGTCCCTCTGAATTGTAGGTGAGCCATCAGGCATTTCAACTATTAATCCTGACTTTGTTTGCTATTTTATTGAGGGTGTGCTTGGTCTCATACTAATTCTTGAAGATGCTAAATAGTACTGGCCCCAGTGACAACCTTGGGGTTCATAGCTTGTGGCCTGTTTGCAGGTGAGTATCAAGCTATTGATTTTGAACCCAGTAATTCAGCCAACTTACAGCTCATCTAACAGTGTGTTCATCTAGGTCGTGTCCTTGGACTACAAATAAGAATATTGTGGTAAATAGACCATTTTTGAAAGCCTTACTGAAGTCAGGGAGTATTACAATGACTGCTTTCTTCTGTCCACATAAGTCCCTTCTTTAGAGAAGGAAATTGGGTTGGCCACCTATTAAGAAAGCTCTGTCCCTTGTTACTGTGTGAACTGTTCTGGTCACCTTTTTCTAAATGTGTGAATACAGAAGGATTTGCTCTATGATCTGTTCAGGAACTGGACTGAGGCCAAAGAGTTGTAGTTCTTAAGATCTTCCTTGTCCATCTTAAATTGGAGCAACGTTAGCTTCATCCTGCTGTCAGGGACATCCCTAATTTGTTGTGGGAATGACAAGTTGTTTTTTAGGGGGAGGATGGGGAGGTGTTTTTTTTTTCCATTTAGTAGGCAGCAGTATCCACAACTGTATCACTGTCATGAGTCACAGCTACTGTATGAATATGGGTGCATCCAGTGGCTCAAAGTAGCAGTGGCTCATAGCACGATGTCCTTACATTACTTTTCCCTCTCATTCCCAAACTGCTCAAGGGCATTGAGTTCTTCTTTCCTGTATCGTCCCTCAATAAGTTGTCTTCTCTCATCCATCTCTGAGCTGTCTCTTCCACACAACAGTTGCAGAGTCTGTTCTTGTTACTCCCTTCCTGCCACACTTAAACATCAGCTGGACTTTGATTCTCCAGATTTTGTCCAGCTTTCCAAGCAGTGTTTTTCTATTTTTGCCTGTCCTAGTTTAACCTTCCAGCTTGCAGTTTACGAATTCATCAAGAAGCTACAAGCTTAGCTAAGCAGACCTTCTGTTGAAATTCCAGATGATCTTGTGCAGCAGGATGGTTTGTTTAAGATGTCTCAAACAGCTTTTAGATCTCCTGGGCACCTTTTCTCCCTATGTCCGCTTCCCAGAGGACTTCATTCAGTGATTCTTCAAACAAACTGAAGTCTGCTCTAGATTGTCCAAAGTTCTGACTGCTCTTACCTTTTTAGCATTCTTTGAGATCTTGAGGTTACCTTGCAGTATCTGCACTAGCGGCTGCTCTGTGGAAGCATGCTTTTTCTGGTATGGGAGCAGCAAGTCTAGTAGGGAATTATTCCCGATCAGTGTCTCTGCCACTTTTGTCAGGAAGCTGTCACCAGCTCACTCTAGTAATTCTGGAAATTTCCTGGATGTATTGCAGTAGGTATGTGAATGATAGAAATCTCCAGTGAGCAGTACAACTTGTGACCAGGAGGGTAATACAAGTTGTTCGTGGGAAGTCCACCCACGTTGTCCCATTCCTGGTGGGGAGTTGTTAAACCGTCAGACAATATCATTGCTGTTCCATCCTCCTGTGGTGACAACTCGGGCATGTCTCTGGTTTTGCAGTGAATAATGTGCAGTGGAGGAGCTCCTGCACATAAGCACGGAGCCATACTGGTAAGAGCTGCAGCACAGCTAGTTACTGCAAGGTGCCTGTTCTTGCAGGGTTCCTTCTATAAGGGTGGTGGGGAACATGACTTGGACCCCTCATCTTACCCCAGAGATCCCTGTATGACCCCCTGAAGCTCTGATCTATTCAAGTCACTAGTACCTGTGGATAAGCAGCAGAGCAAGTAATGAGAAGCACAGGACTGCGGAAGCCTTGCAGTATTTCCATGGCATCATGGCTCTGGGGAAGCAGCAAAAATCCCAGGATAATATGGCTGGAAAACAACTACCTCTGTCCTGTACAAGAAGTGATCAACACCAACACTCATCAGTTCACTTGATTGGGATGAGTATTATTAGGAGAATTGTAACATCTGGTCCAGAGTGCTGTTAATGCCATGTTCACTACAGCTTCCTCCCATGCTGCAATCTGAAATCATCTTGCCAAAACGCATGGAATGTGAACATTGGCTTTTGCTGAAAGATGTAAGCTACTTAACCATTGCTTATCAAAGTGTGCAAAGTATTTGTGCAATAGATATTTAATTTTAACATAAACTTCTAGAAACCTTAGATTTAAGGTGGAAACTCCTTGCATCTTTTCTTCTCATACAAATAGGCTGTTTAATGGCACAATGCCATTTAATGGGGGGAAAAATAAAACGTAGCAACTTCAAAAATATTAGTGAAGATAATTGCCTGTAACTGTAAGATTATAAACACATTTACCTTGACTTGATGTTTTCAGGTCAAAAAACTGCAGAACAGACAGACAAAATGCATGGCATCCAGGCAGATGAACATACCAGACATGGTGACAGTTCCTGCGCAAACAAGCCAGCTTGGTATGCTTTATTACTTTCTTTATTAAAGAATAACAGTTCAGCACTGCAATTACTCAAGCCAAATCAGGACTTAGTATGGTGGTGCCTTTCAGATGCCCTCGTGCTCTTTTAAGGAGAAACTGTACAGTGGTACTAGCAGGAATTTTCATTAGAGTCCTTCTGTGGAGTATTTAAACATCTTCAGCTCAACAAGCATCCAGTGATATTTTGTACTCAATAAATTATTCCAAGCCATCTACTGGAAAATGTTCGCTCATGTTCCAAGTTTCCGGTTTGTTACTGGAATGCTGGGATAACTACTTTGGAAAAAGTGATACAGATTTTTAAAAGCATTCAGAAAGTGCATATCATTCCTTCGCGTGTCTGAGAGGCATCACTTCAGCAATTAAGCACGCTGATGTTTAAATAGGGTTATTTTATCATGTTGTAGCAATAGGATACCTAAATTGTGGAATAGGTTGCCTAGATTGTGCTTCTGTTAGTGGGTTAATAAGATTCTGTTGTGGAAAGCTAGGGCTGGACTGCATGAGAGGGGGAAAAATAACAGTTGTCGTACGACTTCACCACTGGTCATCAAGTATATATCACTAGTATTATCCCTGAAAAATTACTGGAAGTGTGTTTGCCTAAGACAAAAAAAAAGTGAGCTTGATGTTAAAATTACTGAATAGTCTCTACATGTGGTTACAGTAGATAATGATAATCTATTTCTGTCCTTCAATTTCATGAAAGATCTAGTACAATTCCGAAATATTAATGTCTTATTTTCTCTGTGCTGTTCTAGGAAAATCAGAGTTTGAGGGAGGAGTTTGGTAGTTGTTACCACGTTAAACAAAAAAAAAATTTAAAACATAACACGAATTGGAGTTGCTTTAGCCTGTGTATGCTGAAAATATTTATGTTCACGTTTAATATATGCTTATCTTGATCATAGTTGATGAAACTGTGGCACTTAAGCAGAGAGCTGGTGAATTTTTCAATCCTGCTTTGAATGAGCAACAGAAACTGGCAGTGAAAAGGATAGTGAGTGGTGAATGTCGTCCAACGCCTTACATTCTCTTTGGGCCACCAGGAACTGGAAAAACAATAACGGTAGTCGAAGCTATTCTACAGGTAGACATAGATGACGATTGGGTCATCTCTAATAATTTCAGTGTTCTTAGAGTAGTTCTGTAAGTACCATCACATTTTTTTCCCAAACAAGAATTCATGAAATGCTCTTTTAAGCAATTTTCTTGGGCTACACAAAATAATGAAAGATTTTAATAGGAATTTTACAGAATTCCTGAATGACTTATTTTCAAGTCTTCCCATTTTTATATTTTTAAAGCTTTTGTGTCTAGTACCTGACTCACAATTCCAGTACTGCATAGTGCATTCCTGAAACACAGGTATACATCAACATGATAACCATGAAATACTTCTGCTGTCGGTACCCTTAGGTTATGATTGTCAAGACTAGTGTTCTTGAACTGCAGAAGTGTGGATGAGTATAACGTGTTCAAAACTCATCTGGATTCTGTATTCAGTGGCACAACATGAGCACATTTTAGCTATTGCTGTATTTCCAAATTAACTTTACTTTATGTCCATCTTCTCGAATGTAGATACATTATACTTTACCAGATAGTCGGATCTTGGTTTGTGCTCCATCAAATGCTGCAACAGACCTGATCTGCTTGAGGCTACATCAAAGCAATCTCTTAAAACCAGGAGCTATGGTCCGAATCAATGCTAGCTGCAGATCACCAGAGGTAAGTATTACAGGTTACTACCAGTTATTATTTCACTTCTAATATTTTATCTAAAACTACTGATTTATTAATGTAACTGTCAATGTTTAATAGACTGGTTAGGCTTGGTGGGTAGGATCCAAAGTAATAACTACTGTAGCCGTTCCAGAGGATGAACTGGAAAATGTGTATATGAAATATATCTTAAAATTTGGATCCCTAAGATGAAGGAAATGCAAATATATTGCTTAAGCACGTTCATGAAGAATTCATCTCAGTTACAGGTCTAAATCTAAACATTTTGTTCAGCTTCCAACATAGTTTTCAGTGCTTTTTCTTCAAATGAAAACATCGAGTAGCATTTTTGTTTTACAAAACACCTTTTTGTTTCTGCAGCAAATTGATGACATAGTGAAACCTTACTGCAAAGATGGCGAAGATATTTGGAAAGCATCTTGGTTCAGGATAATAATTACCACTTGTAGCAGTGCAGGAATGTTTTATCAAACAGCAGTAAGGTACTGTACTACAGACAGGAGTATTGCTGACGTAGCTGGAAATTACAAAATCTCAAGCCTTAGATTCCCTCTGTATTATAACTTCAGCTGTTTTAATGCAGTTTATTGCATGTACCTCTCTTCCTAAGTTGTCTTGCTGGCAAACCTCTTGTTTTTAGTAATGTTTCAGCTGAGACTTTCTCCACACACAGGAAGCTTAAGAAATATCTTGAATAAAAATAAAAAGTCTTGACGCAGTAGTTTTCCACCACCAGCAGTTGTATCCTTAGAAACCATATTGTATCTTACAGTCATGTTGGCTTAAAAGTGTTGTTGTAGGAGTTCACACTAAAAATTAGATTTTACTTAGTAAAGGTGACCTGATGAGAAAACTAGCTGTAAACAACCTCAATATAAAGTGCTATTAAGCAAAATCAGAGGAAACTATCTTTTTAAAAGAATGCGTTAAGTGTTTAACTGTCTTAAGAGTTGTTTGGTGGAAACAGGGCCTAGTGATTGTCTTTGCATAAACCAAGTGCGTTATTCTAATTACGTAGCTGAGAGAATTTGAGAACAATGATTTTTTTTTTCCAAGGATTTTTTTTTTTTTTAATCTTAGCCTTGCCCTGACTAATACTTTAAGATAAGCAGCGGTTGCATATATGATAGTGTGGATGAGAAATCACAGATGAGGAATCAGTTAGCGAGTTGTTTCTTCTACCTTGTGTGTTTGAAATATTTTAATCTTTGTTGTATATGTGGAGGGGAGGTTCCTGGTGCACATGACAAGGAAGTTTACAGAGCTGCTGAGGTCAACCACAGGGTGGCAGAATGAACTAATCTGAAAAAAAGCCCTCTTTTAAGTTCATGTTACTTAATTGTAGGCTTGGACACTTCACACATATGATTTTGGATGAAGCTGGGCAAGCAAGTGAACCAGAGAGCCTGATTCCTATCGGGTTGATTTCAGAAGCTAATGGACAGGTAGGTCTCTTAGAGTCATCTTCTGAAAGGAAGTACAAGGTTTTTGCTTGCTGTTCTTATCGTTGTGAATGTTGTAGAATGCAAGCTGCCATTTTTTCATACTTCTGGGCCTAAACCTGTGCAAACAAATTAGAAGTCTGTGAGGAAAGTAGAGTACTTAAACACATCTTGCGTTTCTTGGAAGTGTGCATGTTACTGAAACTACATTTTCTAATAACTGTTATAATATAAGGTGTTTTTTTAATCTGTATATACAGATAGTTCTTGTTGGAGATCCAAAGCAGTTAGGACCTGTAATAAAATCAAAAATTGCATTGGCATTTGGATTAAATATGTCCTTGCTGGAACGACTGTTATCAAGGGATATGTATCTGAGAGATGAGGATGCTTTCAGTGCCTCTGGATCATATAATCCTTTGTTGGTGAGTAAAACCAAATTATTTTAGTTTATTTCTTGTGAAGAAGGAGAAACTGTGGTTGCTGATGTTTCCTTACCACCTTGCTTTACTCCTTAATGCTTAGACTTAAAACTAACTCAAATAGTTGTTTTTCTAGGAAGACTTGATTATTTTGAATAAATACTCAGAATATCAAGGACGTTCAGCCTTCTAACCTCCTAAAGCCCTTTTTGGCTTAAAAACAGACAGCCCCTTCAGAGTTGGTCAAATGTAGTACACACAGCGTAATTCTAAATAACAGCTTAAAATTCCCTTCCATCTCCATTTTCCAAACTTACTCATAATTCTCCACAAATGGACAAGCTTGAACAAGTTATTTCAGGAAGGGAAAAAAAAAAAAAACCTTCCTATTTCCTTACCTCTTCTTCCTCTGAAGGATAGCTTTGGAAATTTGTCATATAAGCATAAGAAAACAGTGTTTACAGGGTAGCTGGAAATAGCTGAATGTTCCATGACATAGAGAAATACTTAAACTATTCCTTTCATCTCTGAGCTGTAACTACACCTAGCAGCCCAGTACATGAACTGGGGTATCAGAAGCAAATTACCATTAGTGAAATGTTTTTAGGACAGTTGGTGAACACGTTCTGGTGAGCATATGTCAGAATCAGGATCTGGCACCCCGTTGATATATCCTTGACCAGAGCAGCCCCTTAATGTCATTCCGAAGTATGGATTTGAATTGAAGAGCCTCATAAGTAGATTTTTTACGACTCACCAGAACCATTACTTCTTACTCAACATTTGTTGAGTAAACACTTAAATTTAAACAAAATAAGCTCAGTCTCACTTTGTGGTCTTGCATAGCTGTGAAGGTTGAAAGGTAGAGAATGAAAAGCTGGGGACAAGGGCACTATTTGGGGCAGTAAGTTCTTGAATGAGGACAACTCTACACATGCATGTTGAACATGTCATCCATATATGGAGTACTAAAAACATCCTTTTTTGCTAGACTCTGTTGTCAGTTTGACTAGTAGGGAACCAGTTCAGAGTGTCATTACAGTTTCCTAATGCTCTTGTACGGTGAAGTGCCTAAAGTCCATTTCAAGTGTCAGAGGTAGCATTGCTAGGTAAGTAAGCACAAATGTTTCAGTGGCTTTAAGTTCTTGTCACAGGCTGAGATACAGGGCTAAAATGTAAACTTGATTTATTAAAGTGCCTTCTCATTCTTCTGGTACTATAGTCTGAAAAATTAAAACCAAAGGTGACGCAATAATTGTGTGGCCAGAGGAGGAAGTCTGATGGCAGACTTAAGTTGCTGGAGGGGACAGGGAGTGGGTGATATTTAGCTCTAGCTTTTAGGTTGGGTTCAGCCTAATGAAAAGTTACTTCAAACTTCCTCTTAAAAATCTGTTACAGCAAACTTCTGTTCTTGTGTTACGTATACAATGCTTAAGGCAAGCTGGCATGGTGAGAGAGCACAAAGTGAAGGCTTTAGTGCTCCTTGAGCTGGTTATTAATGGCTGGAATTGCTTCTTCGAGGCCATTCTTTCATTGAGAGACAAGTAAATTTTCCAAGGCCAGCTTCTGTTAGCTGTTCTAATCGTCTGATGCTTTTTCTCTGCCCATCAGGGCTTCCCCCAAGAAGCACGTTACATCTATGGAAACTCCAATAAAAGAATCTGACTTGATTAAAAAAGGAAATGGGCTTGCAAATAGGATGCCTTAAACTGGAGAATGCCAATTTCATCTTTTGTGTAAATTTTATTCTTTCATTTGTTCTCCGCTCCCCTTAGAGGGAAAAGAGATGGTCCTTCTTAAGACTTTTTTATTTAGTATTTACTTACAGATCAAAATTACAATTTTTCCCTTTAATGCAGTTCTTTGGCAGCTTTAGAAAAGCTAAACACTACAGGATGGCAAGATACCTGTGTGGGAGCTGCTGCATGCTTTGAAGCTTGATGAATAGCTGCGTGTTTTGGTAACAGATTCGTATTTTTTTGGTCTCTGCAGATCACAAAGCTCATAAAGAACTACAGGTCACATTCTGCCTTGCTTGCTTTACCATCTAAACTGTTTTATCATAAAGAGCTGGAAGTTTGTGCAGACACTTCAGTAGTAACTTCTTTGTTGCATTGGGAGAAATTGCCCAGGAAGGGATTTCCGTTAATTTTTCATGGAGTCAGGGTATGTAAAAAGTTCACGTAGTCAAGTATAAACAAAGGGGCCTCACAGAAGTTGTCTGATAATGTAGACAGCAAGTTTTATTCTTAAGAATGAATTTCAGAAAGGATATGAAAACAAGCTTTTTATAGGAAGTATGGCTTTTTGGTTTTGAAAAAAATACTTGTTCAGTACTTCGTTGGGTTTTGATGAAACAACCACTGAAGGCAGATGTTTGCAAAGAACTTAAGCAGCTGCAAATTGCAGCGTCTTGTGGAGACGTTTTAATACAAAAAATCAAGTTGGTAAATTGAGCAGCACAGAGCTACAGGCAGCTCCATTAGATTTAGATAACTTCTGATAAGAGTTTGCTGTATTAGAATGAATACCATCCCCTACAACTGGAAGATTATTAAAGATTAAGTTGGAGGGAGGAGGAGGAATAGTATATCAGGAAGAAAAGTTTTCTTTGGTCTTCCAAGAAGTGGTGAAGTAGCAAGTGGTATATCTACTGTTGGAGGTGCTTTTTGAACTCCTACACCTTGCAGAAAAGCAGGATAGCAGCCTGGTAACACCTGTCACCCTGAGTTGAGATTTGCATCCTTTGTCACATATACAAAGCACTGTCATCTGTAAATATACTATAAATCTAGCTTTTAAAAAAGGCATTAAGTGATGCTTTTCCTTTCATTGGAAAGGATTTATAGCAAAGAAGGGAATTTGTATATAACATATGACATCTATTTTTTGCATTTAGGATGTTTGAGGCTAATCTATTAAATACATATTAATTTCTGCACATTTTCTTCATCTGCTCGCTTTGCTTCCCCTTATCCAGGGCAATGAAACACGTGAAGGCCGCAGCCCCTCGTGGTTTAATCCAACTGAAGCAGTCCAAGTGATGCAGTACTGTTGCCACCTGGCTAAAAATGAAAGCACTGCAGTGTCTGTGACTGATATTGGAGTGATTACACCGTATCGTAAACAGGTATCAATAGTGTTCAAAAACTTCAGAGTTAGTGTATTTCGTGTTGTGGTTTGTTAGAGCAGGAAGGCCTGTGTCAGAATGTCACTGTGTCATTACATAGCGTGTTATCAATCTTTAATGATGTTTCCATTGAACTGTAAACCTAGATAGCACTAGTGGCATTCTGCTTTGCTTAGTTTCATAAATTAGGAAGTGATAGGGAGAAATCTGTGGTTTCGGGGTTCAAAGCAGGTATTTCAGTTGTTGAGAGTAGAGAGCAAGTAAAGAACTTAATATCTGACAGCTGGAACAGGTATCTGATACCCTCACTGTGCACACTGAGGAGCGGAACAAAAGGGAAACGTAGCAAGTAGAGGGCATGTCACTTTGTTGTGACTTTGAGGAAAGTACAGGAATTGGGACTTAGCAGTCCAGCAGTCAGGCTCGAAGCTTGTACTGCTCTTTGAACACGTACAGAATGTTGGATGGCAACTTCAAGTCTGTTAAGTGCATGATGTCTGCTTTCATGTTTAAAATCTTTTATTTCCAGAGGATGCTCTGGACAGGTTGTGTTCAGTTTTTTTTGATGTGCACATCTCAGTCTTTGTGATCATGCATGTGAGGGCTGGGGCAAACACTGTAAGGCATGTGGAAAAGACCAGCCCCCTTTTGAAGAACTCTGACTTGCAAATTAGAGTTGTCTGTGCTGATTCCACTGTTGAAGCATATGCACCTACCTGTATTTACAGTTACTACTTATTTTTCAAATACTTATATATGGTAGAGATGTGGCTGAACATCTTATATTAAAACCTGTGAAGTGTTTCAGGGAGTATGATTGTGTCCTTCATCTGCCTATGGTGCAAGGCATACTAATAATGTCTGCTTCAGGAAAGTCACTTTGTCTTGCAAGAATGCTGATGTGAAAAGAAGCACTGTAACCCTTGGCTTAGCCGTGGTTCATTTTTCACTTAATTTGGAGCACTTCAGCTGCAGTCTCCAAGCAGCTTTTTGCTGGTGATCGTATGCTTATCCCAGACATACCAGCATTGTGGTGGAAAAGACTGCCTTGTACCCTCCAGAAGAGAGCAGGCACCTGTGGTCACGCCTTGCCTCTGCTTTTCACTCTGCATGGTGCAGCTGGCAAGCAGAGGGGGAGTCTCTGCACAGTCTTCTGGAGGGATGGAGGAAGCTGCTTGCCCTACCACACCTGTTTTAAGTCTTGGTTTTGGATACATTCCACACTGGAAGAAGGATTCCTATGGATAAACTCCTAAGATCTAAGTTGTTTTTCTCATTGAAATCTGGATTTATCAAAAAACTGTCCATTTCTGTACACATGGTGAAAGCATTTCACCTGCTGCGTCATGTAAGAAGTGTTAAACGTCTCAGAAAAAAGCTGCTGTTTCATTTTTAAATTTCACTAGTGGCTAATGGCTAACCTTGCTGCGGGCATTTCCTACAACCTGTCTGCATTAAGTTCCTTATTTTTGTGACGTATGCTTTGGATTTGAAGTAATCCACTCTCAAATGTGAAAAATAAAAAAATCTTTCAAATCTTTTTTTTGTAGGTGGAAAAAATCAGATTTCTTCTGAGAAGCATTGATTTGTCAGATGTTAAAGTCGGCACGGTGGAAGAGTTTCAAGGGCAGGAGCACCTGGTTACCATCCTATCAACAGTATGTATTTTTGCTCTGGTCCTGTGTAGAATACTTATGTATTTTTAATTCTCTGGCTCCTTTGACATGGGGCTTAGGGAGGGAAGGGAAGGAGGAAGCTATATTTATTATCAGTAGTCTGTTGCAGCATTTGGGAAAAGTGCTTTTTTTAAGCACATGTGAACAAGGTGCTGTCTGGGCTTTTTGAAGTAAACTTCAAACCTTTTTGGATGTTCACACTTAAGTTTGTTTTAGAGTTTCATGCAGATAATGTACCTTCAGTTAAGCATGTTTAGAGAAGATGCAAACTGGAAGCATTATAAATATTAGAGAACTGAGTGAATCACAATGATTTACCACACTCCAGTCAACAGCCTGAAAACTCTGCAGCAGCTGAGACACCAGGCCTCAGAAGACTGAGGAGGAGCTCCACACACCAGTGTTTACCACCCCTTTGTTTTTGATTAGGTGCAGGTGTGTGCCAGTTCTTGCTCTAAATGCTAGATGTTCACTCCAGAGTGTATGCACACATCTTTGGTATGTGGATTCACATGAAAACCCCATAAGGAGAAAAAAAAACATCAACTTCTTTGTCCTTTTTCTTCTCAGGCACAGAATTGTTGGATGGGGCTCTTGATAGTGGAGGTTTTTCTTGGTGCCTGTAAGGAGAATTCAGTGTGGAGTCAAGAAGTAGAAGCAGCAGCTGCTATAAGCAGTTAGGTGATCAATCTTGACGCGTTTTGCAGATGCCTTTATACAGGAATGTGTGATACTGATCCTTTATGTTCTGAGCTAACATCCAAGTATGCTCTGGTGAAGATGTTGTACATACATGCTGAACTGCTGGCCAGGAGTAAGAAGCTGTGCTGAGTCAGCAGAGAAGGTGGTTGGGAAACTTGAAAGAAAAGCTAACCTGACACTGAACATCCCAGTGATAGCAGTTTAGTGCATGCGATTGTGTTTTGGGGTTTTAGACTTTTTTCTGGTGGGCATTACAGGTCCATGCGGACCTTTACAGACCTTTATCTCTGCAGTGTGAAGCTGGGTTCAGAATGCAGTCTGTGTGCTTGCTTTTGGTCCAAATGGTAGGATGTTTTTCGTGCAGTAAGTCTTAAAGTAAAAGATATAAGTCTGGAATGTGGAGTTCTTGAGGTGTTTGTGACCTGGGATTCTTCAGAACTGTTCAAGAATGTGCACTATTACAGGCTGTGCCCCTGTGAGTCTGGGTAATGGCACAGAGGACAGACTGGTCAAAGGAGGCAGTGCAGACCAGGAATGTGTGGCTGAAGATACACTGGACTACTTCTAACAGCAGTGCATAGAATTTCTAAGAGAGAGGACAAAATAGCTATTAAAACAACCAAAGACCTGGAAAACAGGATGACTGGGGAGGAAAAGGAGGGAAGAAATCTGTTTGTGTGAGGGATTGTCCTGTGTCTTGGAGGAGGCATTTGGGGGTTTGCTTGCTTGTTTTTTTCCTAAGGGCAGCAGAACCATGCTTACTCTTCTTCATACTTCGTCATGTCGTGGCTTTTCACTCCAGCATAGTAACTATCTTAAAATAGTTGTAGGTATGTACTGTGCTCCTACTTACACAAACTCATTATTAGTAATGGAAAATTACTTTATCAAATATGAGTTCAAATATTGATTGAAATAAAGGTGAAAACTTGATGAGAAATCATTACAAAGCACATTAGTTGCTTCAGTGGCATTTTCCTCTAGGCTACAGCAAAGCTCACTGACAAGACACTCTGAAGTATCATTGAGCTGTAGAACTTAGAAAAACAGTAACTACCATTTCTTCTACTGAAAAGACTTTAAAAAAATGGTGTTTTTCAGGATGTAGTGTTTAGTATCTTGCATTTCAAATTACAGTGGGTATTCATGATCCTAAAATAAAGCTAATATGCCATTCTTCTGAAATTGCTAAAGTTGTGTTCGGGGACTGTAGGAGAAGAGACCTCTGGGAAAATCCATCGTGGGAAATGTGGTTATGAAGCTAGCTTGTGCATTGCTCACACTGACCTGTGGTTTGTTGCAGTGAGCAAATCATATGTTGCTCATCATAGTTACACTATGGCTAGGGAAGTTGGTTTCTCATTATTCCAATTCTGAAATTAATTTCTAGGTGCGATCTCATGAAGGCATGTTTATGGAAGAGAAATACTATTTGGGCTTTCTCTCTAACCCAAAGCGATTTAATGTAGCAATTACTAGAGCAAAAGCTTTGCTGATTGTTGTGGGAAATCCTCATGTTCTTGTGAAAGTAAGTGTTTGTTTGTTTGTTTGCTTTTATCTTTGATTTGCATGTGGTATTTGCCATGATAAATGACTAATCTATGGGGTTATCTGATATGAGAGAACATCTTTTATGTTCATAGTTGGTGTGCTGTCTTCAGTCTGCATTTAGGATTACCTCAGCTCCAGAGGTAAAGGTGGACAGTTCAGGCACCTGTACAGTAGACTCCCAAGCACTTCTTAATATCTGATAAAACAGAAGAAAAGCAGTATTCCAGAAAACAAGCTGAATAGAAAGCTTAGTCTCCCCACACCTATATGCAACAAATGTAACAGTGCAGCTCTCAGTATCTTTCTCGAATGTTATTCCACTCCTGCACTGTTTGCCTTCTTCTGTTCCTGGAAGAGGTCCAGTTAAATCTCCTGCATTCATGTGCTATGCTAATTTGTTTGAAAATTCATTACACACAGTAGCGTGATTTATGTTAAACATTAATCTTTTCTTGTAGGATCCCTGTTTTTGTGCACTGCTGGAGTACAGCTTAATGAACAAAGCTTATGTAGGTTGTGACCTGCCTTCAGAGCTGGAATGCCTGCACCAGTGAGTGTTGTTTTAAAAATACCATAGATTGCTCTATACCATTTGAAAGATAACATATAAAACCCTCTGCTACAATATATTAAGATTTGATTTTTGCAATCTTAAGTACAGTAAACATAACATGTAACAGTATTTTCCCTCGCTCTGTAAGAAGAGTCTGAGCATTAAGTACAGGGTGTTGCTGACTTTGGTATTTTGCATACCCCCAAATGAGGCATCATGTATTTAGGGATCATAAGGGGAACTTTGGTGGGATTGTGGTTCTGCAGGGGGAACTATTTATGGTGGCTCTACTATAGTCAAAGAAATTTGTTTGAAAGATTGGTTTAAACATGTATTACATCTTGCTAGAAGGGAAGTCCTAGAAGAAAAATTTATTAAAATCATTATTTATTTAAAGGTAATCAAAATTAATTTATCTTATTTCCTTTAATTGATAGATGTGAGTGATTTTTCCAGTGTTGAAGATGCATTCAGTCCTCTTCTGATTTTGAAGCTAAGAATGCTTAACAGAAATCCATTCCTGAGTGAATCCAACACCTTTTGGCCTCAGGGAAAGGCACATGTTCTGAAATTCTGTGAAGTTTATCCAAGAGACACTTGTAGTACTTCTAAAGAGTGTAAAGAGTGGCAATCAGTCTGCTTTTTTTTTGGAGGGGGGAAAAAAGTGTATAGCTTTATGCTTCTGTTTAGAAGTGTAGACGAGTCCTGCAAGCTTCAGAAGATACTGATGAATTATGTTAATTTTTTCTTATTCTGTTTCTTTTTTTTTTTTTTTGAGTTTCTCAGTGTTCTCAGACTTCTGTAATGACTTCTGAGACTGGTCTGTCCCAAGAACATGTATATCTTGTAATCTTGTTACAGGAGCGTTACAGTAATATATCCACACAGTGAACTTGAGTGATGCATGATTCATTCCAGTTAACTGATGCTGAATATCTTAAGCCAAGCAGGCTTAAAAGCCCTACTTGCTGGTCTAACAACTTGGAGTTCATACAGGGTTCTCCTCTTTCTTTACTGCAGTCCAGATGTCTGCTGTGGTATATGTCAGAATGTGTCAGATGACGTATTTAAAAAGGAGGAGGTGGGGTGAAAATTGTTCTGTGTTTCTGCAAACGCACTGTAGAATAAAGCATTGTATTTTACTTCAACAAAATGAAAAATAATTGGCTGATGGCTTAGCAGTAATCTTGCAGTCACCTTATTTGTGTGCTGTGCTGTTCCCTTAAACTGAATATTACTCTCTTGTTCTCTCCTTGTTAACTAAGTCTCACCGTACAACGCTGTAGAAATAATAGTGAAGTAGTATGTGCGCTTATGATGTACCAGATCTTACAACCACTACTCAGCCCTACTGCTGCTTACACCTATTGTCAAGTGTGCTCATGCTCTCCTTGAGGAAGAGATTTATTAATTCCTTGCTTTACCAAGAAATGGTAGAGGCCAGAGTGCTGCAACCATTTCTTGAAGAGCAAGATGGAGGTGCATTAAGTCAGAGAGCACAGGAATACCTTGACATTTTTCCCTCCTTGCCTTGTATTAGAGATTGATGGGTTACAAAAAGCAAGAGGTAGTCTGAGCCGTTCATGAGCCGTTAAGAGTTGAAAAATCCTTCAAAAGACCAGTCAAGACACTGCAACATCCCAGAGGTTTTCTTAAAATTTAAGCATGTAGTATTCAACTGTGTACTCATCAGGTTGTTCTGGTTTTCTCAATATGTTTCAAAAAGTAATTAAGGTTTGAGAAGTACGTTCTGTTGTGGCTGTTGCAGCCTTACAAGTAGTCCAGAGTCAAAACTCTGTGCTGTGGCAAAGAGTTCCCTCAGTGGCTTTCTTTGTTTCTGAAAGAGATACTTAAACCTGTAAGTAGCTGCATTTAGACCTCAAATAAAACAATAATAAAAGCATGTTCTTTAATGGCATTTTAGAATATGAAGGCTTTATCAGTCATAGCCTCTCCTATTGCTCATTCTAGTCTTTTGCTGTTTTCAACCTTTTAAAGTTCTGATTTAATGGAATTGCTGTCATCGATCTGTTCAGAGTGGTTCAGGTCAGGTCAGGCCAAATCATTGGCGTAGGAGTTGCTGGGCAAATAATTTTGTTTCTGCTAGTTCTATATCTTGTCATAACAGATATTTGTTTTATCTAATAAAAGTTGCATCCCTAACAATTACATAGCAACATATTGAAGGTCAGGCTGTGGGCTTCCAGCATCAGCCAAATTATTCAAGCCTGCCAGCTCAAGCAGTCCAAGATCCACGTGTGTGGCTGGGTGCTACCCGGTGCTGCGCTGAACCGGCTGCACAGGCAGGTGGATGTATTTCAACAAATAATGGGGGGTCAGAGTCCTGTTAAATTTGTCTTGCTCTTCATTCTCTTGAAAAGTGGTCAGTTTGTACCTGAATGAGGAAAAAATAAATAAAATCAGGTTGTGCTTGCAACCTGTATTCTACACCTCCTGTGATTGTATTTTTTCCATTCCCAGTAAGGATGTTAGATCAATGGGGCAAGAAATAGATCCAGAGTACGCACCTGCTGTATACTGTCTTCTGAAACCTTGATTTTACAGTGTTCTGAAAGTTTAACCCACTATTATTTAAATAAAATAGCTTTAAGTTGTCTAGGGACATTGGGCTGCATATTTTGGAGTTCAAATACAGAATATTTATTTTTCTGTTATCTTAATAAGAAACAGACTCTTTAAAAAAAAAAAAAAAAAAAACGCAGCATTCATTCACAGATTTTAGAAACAATTCATTTGTCTCTGTTTTACCAGGCCAATTATTTAAACAATTGGCTCTTGTTGTAATGGTAAAAAACGTGCTATAAGGCTGCAAGCTTGAGGGGGAAGATGTCTTCCAGCATATGGTGAATAATGGGAGTATGGAATAATCCTTTTAAATGTCTTAACATTTCCTTACAGCTTTAGGCAGTGTTACATCTCAGTACTTCTTTAAAGATCTATCAGTACCCTAAAGATCTATCTGTACCAGTTTCCTGAGAAATGCTCTGTAAGGGTAAAAGGAAGCACTTCCACTGCTGTGGAAGCGCAGTACGGATGTGATGTGCTATAGAGGGAACAGAAGGCAAACTGCAGACCATGGAACAGACAACTGTCTATAAATAGAGGACAAAATGCTGTTGAAATGTTCATTTTGGAAAGGCTTGGAATTTGACCAAAAGGCACAAACAAGCAGAATAGTTCTTCTAAGAAATAGTAATGTCAGGGAAGAAGAGCTAAGGAACCAGAAGAGACTAGAGTTAAGGAAAAAATGCAGTCAACAACTGGAAAACAGAAAAAAGACACCTCCCAAATAGTCACTTTTTCTAACCCTTACATGGTTAGCTCTGATTTTCTTCATGTATGACTTCTCTCACTTATCTGGAAGGTGCAGGTGGCAGGGAGGTGCTAGAACTGAGCAGAAGATTCTTACCTGGTGTCTGCACAGCTGCAGCTGAATGCCTGAAAGTTGTGTTTCGACTAAATTGTCCAGGCTACCTTTCTAGCTAATGGAGAGAAATGAGGTGTTTTACTGCATCCTAAAATGTGTCTGGAATATGTGAATGAAGGCCCCAAGGTGCCTGGCTCCCTGCACTGACTGGAGAGGGAGGCCAGAGGCTGGGAGGAGCTGGGTTCTGGACAACTGAAGATAGGTGAGCAAAAACCTGACTCAGGTGCCCATCTCCTTTCCCTAGGAGCACAGGAGGCAGTTCTTTTCCTAGAAGTTGATGAAAAGAATCACAGAATGGTTTGGGTTGGGGGACCTTAAAAATCATCCAGTTCCAACCCCCTGCCATAGACAGGGATGCCACGTGGTAGATCAGCTTGCCCAGGGCCCCATCCAACCTGGCCTTGAACATCTCCAGGGATGGAGCATCCACAGCTTCTTTGGGCAGCCTGTGCCAGTGCCTCACCAGAGTGAAGAATTTCCTTTTAACATCTAATCTAAATCTCCCTTCAGTTTAAAATCATTCTCCCCCACTATCTGCCTATGTAAAAAGTATAAAGAGATAAAAGTGTTACTAAAACCTCGGCATTTTATGGTTTTTGTTCATGCTGAAGAAGCAAAGCTTGCAGATGTAGAGGTGGACCTGTTTACCTCTCCATGGAGCACAGCAGCACAAAATTAAACGCCTCAGTGCACTTTTTAGTACGGTGACGCTTAGCAGAAGCATGTATTTTTGTAAGAGATCAGAGCGTTCCCAACAGCACACCAGAGGAGAAACAAAACAGTACCAGTGTGTGGCCGCTGCTGCGGTGGGGCTGGGGCAGAGCAGCCCCTCCACAAATCCCTGCAGCGAGGTTGGGGGGAACATGTAAAGTACGCACGTGGGCTGGAAATGCTGTGGGAAGTCTTGTGGTGGTTTCTGTTCCGCTGCTAGCAGGCGTACCCTGGGGTAACAGGGAGAACGGGATAGCAGGAACAGAAGGGTAGTGACAATTTCCCTTTTGGCTTCCCTCAAATTAATGTGCAAACAGCACAGATGGGATAAATGAGGCAGAAGAAGAAATACAGCGTACATTTCCTGTAGAGCTACTAAAACAAAAGCAGTCTTTATGGAATAGGACAGTGACCAAAAGGCATTTTAACCTCTATCATAATTTCTATTTGGGGCAGAATTCGAGGTTATGCTGGAGCTCTCTGGTTTAATGCTTGGTGTTTGTCAGATGTGGTGATTTATAACTGAAGACCCAAGGAGAAAGTATGACTGAATTGCTGAGAGGTTGGCAAACAAGAGGCCAAAAAACTTCCTTAAACGTGTTCATTCTGTGTGGAGTCACTACTGCCACCACTGAAAAATCTAGCAAGAGAAAACCTAAAGAAGTGATTTATTTTTTTTTAATGGCATTGTAGAAATATACATGGGAAGACACATTACAGATGAGCAGAATTAACTTTTATAGGATTTATTAATAGTAGAAATAAAAATGAATTTGTTACAGATAATTGCTGTGTAATCTTTATCCAGACTATCTGCAGATCTGCCTGGGATCAAAGCCAATAAGATTTGGTCTGGAATCAGAAGTCAATCTCTGTTGTCCTGCTTGTAGAGATACCCTGAAATAAAATGCCTTAATGTTTCTTCAGCAAGAAAAGAGTTTTTACCAGTTCAAGATACTTTTCCCTTCTGTTTTTCACTTTCACTCCCTAGTGTTCGTATCACTGTGTATAGCGCAGCTTCACCTTTAGTCATAACGTGCCGAGGAGGAGCTAAGACATAGCGAACAAGCATTGGCCCTGCTTATGCTGTCGCTGAAGACATGGTGGTAAGCAGGCCAGCTTCAGTGGTCTGAACTGCACATTAAGGAGGTTTCAAACACATCCTTGTTCCCTGTATAAATGATTCCTCGGGCGTTTTAAGAATAAATTATTCAAAGAACCAGCTGAAGTTCAACTTAACTTCGCATGGTAGGTACATTTTAAAATCTCATGAAGATGATGAAGTGCTTTAAAAGTACGTTCTCCTTTCTTCTGTTAGTCCCCAATGCATCAAGCTCATCGCCGTTTCCTACCGAGTAAAGCTGTGCCTGTGATCACGGAGTAGCTCTGTTCCAAAATGCCTATTACAGGAATTCTTTGGATTCCTACTGCAAAAGGTATTTGTCATCTCCACATTTTCAGAATGTGAGTTTTCACATTGGACTTGGTGCTGGAAAGCCTAGCAAACCATGCCTCCTTGTAGCTCCTAGGTCTGAAGAAGCAGCTATCGGTACTTGGAAAAAAAAAAAAAAAAAAAAGCCCAAATAAAAATCATCAACAAGGCTTTGGCTGAAGGACAGAAGGCCTCCTCAAAGGATCATCCCATGTAGTCTGAGGATAGGGCCCAGGAACAAAGAAGTAAATTCACTCACGTGAGCAATGCCGTTGAAGTTCAGGCATTTGCCTACACGGGGCTGAGCACTTCATGCCCAGAATCAACATCATTTAATCCTGTGAGTAACCTCACTGACTTGAAGGACTTTATGAAAATGCTTTTGGAAAGCAAAGGGCGATGGTAGAACTTCCTTATTTCAGAAGTTTCAATTTCTCATCTCCTTTTTGTACCATATGCTAGGGATGTATGTAGAAAGCTTGACAATGCTTGAGGAAGATGTTGACTTGTTGATCTTGTGTCCGAATGTAAAGGTAGATAACTAATGGTGTATTAAAAGTATGAGCAAGCCCTCAACTTCCATGCAGTCAGTCCTGTGGGTTATTGCTCTCTGTAATTTATTTTAAAGATTGGGAGCTGCAGAACTGGTTAAGGACATGAGAAATAAAACAATCCCAGTTTCCAGTTAGAGTTTATCCCAGACAAACTTTTAAAGAGTTAGAAATCTTGGGATTTCAGGATCTGTGCGCTGCTTGCATCTGTTATTGCTAAGCATTTTTGATGTTCTGAAAAACATGTTTTGAAAATCTGCTTCATGTGGTGCAGATTCAGGCTTGTATAAGGACATCACCCACTCTCTATGGACAGCAGGAGTCCTGCTATAGGTTTTGGCTGGGGAAATAAAATTTACAACCGCAATTAAAGTTTTTGGAACTGGATTGCCTTTACATCAGCATAAATTTTCAGGCATTGAGGCCAAAAACCTTTAAATGATGACGTTTTGTCAGGTACTCATGTAACCTCTCCCTTTCTCTTGATCAGAACATCACAGATCAAATGTGAGATCTGTGACAGCTGCCTGCATGCCCTGCGGTAGCCGTGTACAGCTGAACGATCCGGTAGGGCCTGAGCAGTCGGGTGCCCCAGACGAAGGAGGCAGGTACCTCAGCAGTTCTTCCACCTCACCGACAACATCTGCTCCAGCACGGCCTCTGCAGTGCGTCAGGCTGAGCACATCCATCGTGATCAAAGAAACCACACGGCTGTATTTAACTCCCCCTGCCACCAGTTCCTGCCATGTGTATCAGACTTGGGTAGAGCAAGGTTAGGGGAGGCAGACGGAGGTTTCCACAGGCATCTTGTTCCTTTCTTCAGGTAACATGTCCATTTTATGCAGGTTTAACCAGGATGGCTGGTGGAGACTTTTACTACTATGACGTTCCTTTAATATTTTTTTCCAGTTTCATTTATTTTGCTAAATAAAACTGTGCATTTCTCATACATTTAGATAAGATGTTACGATCTAACATTGCAAGGACTAATTTCCCTTTCATGGCTTCGGGATCATGATGAACAACTGCAGTCTGCAGACACTAGGCTGAATGCCCTGAGGACAGCACCACACTTTCTGCAGACATTACCTGTCTCGCTTGACTTGACTTTTTTCTCACTCGATTTTTGCTTACTTGACATTTTTCTTCTAATGCGAAAATGTCATTATATACTAATTTAATTCTGCTGCAGCAAAAGCTTTATTGAATACCCTAAACCTTTAAGCCTTTGCCATCAAATATCTGTGCTGTTTGTATTACCTAGCAGCTTGTGAATCAGCATGAAAAGTTATTCATATGCTTTAATTT